TTTCTTTCTATCCTTTGCATTTTAAAAATGGCAAATGCACACAAAAATAGAATCATATGAACTACTTTCTGCAAAGCTTTGATACACATATATGTAACAAAAGAGTCTAATAAATATGTAAAAATACTATGTAATTATGCAGTGTATAGAAAAGAAACCACAATTCTAATATATCTTGGCAGAAGAAACAATAATTGCTTTTTTAAAAAAATAATTGCTTTTGCTCTCTCCCTTCTCTCTGCATCTTTTGGGGCTGCTTTCTGACGAAGTATTCTTCTGCTTTAAAAAAACTGAAAGGGAAAACTAAGCACCCCTTTATCTCTTTGCACGTACTCAGGGCGTGCCTTTTTAAGTGAACAGAAATTAGTTTAAAGTTTTTGAATGCTGAATTTAAAGCAACTGTGAACCAGCAATTATCCGTGATCTAAGAAAGGGTGGGGCTCACTGTTTGCTGAAGAGGGCAAGTGGAACTTCGTGTTGGGAGCTTGCTCACCTACCTCTGCATTTCAGAGCTTGTTTCTGGCTTTAATATCGTGGAGTTCACGGATCAGGGGTTGAGAACTTCAAGGGTGGGGCTCCCTAGGCCTCCCTGTCTGACCTTGGAGACTCTTCCCGAGGCCATATCCATCACTAGTCCTGCTCCCACAGCCTCCTCAAGTGCTTCTGCCTGGCTAGAATGTGGCCTTGAACTGGGACAATGTCTCTTGCTTGTCTGGAGGTTGTGTGTGTGTGTGTGTATAAACACTGCCTTTGGTGAAGCTGGGATGTAGCCCATTTTTGCCTCTGGCCTCACCTACCCCTGACATGCAAGTAGGGTGGGGTCAGCCTAGAAATTCCCCCTTGAGGGAATGCAGCCCTGAGGCTGGAAAAAAATAAATCCCTACCCTAGTCTTGGAGGAATAAGAGATTACCGTATTTTTCGTTCTATAGGACGCACCGGTCCATAGGACGCACCTCGTTTTGGGGGGGGGAAATGAATAAAAAAAATTATTCCCCCCCCCCGCGGCTGCCGCCCCAAGCCTCGCGTGCTTCGGGCTGCAGGCTACCTCCCCAAGCCTCGCGCGCTCGGCGGGACCTCCCACCGGGCGCGCGAGGCTTGCAGACACTCGCCCGAAGCACGGGGCGCCCGCCGGCGGGGGCCCCCTGCTTCGGGCGACAAGCTGCAGCCCCAAGCCGTGCGCGCCGGGCGGGACCTCCTGCCGGGCGCGCAAGGCTTGCAGACACTCGCCCGAAGCACGGGAGCCCTCAGGACGGCTCCCCGTGCTTCGGGCGCCAGGCTGCGGCCCCCAGCCTCGCGCGCCCGGCGGGCCCTCCTCCCGGGCGCGCAAGGCTTGCAGACACTCGCCCGAAGCACGGGAGCCCTCCGGAGGGCTCCCGTGCTTCGGGCGACATGCTGCAGCCCCAAGCCTTGCGCGCTGGGCGGGACCTCCTGCCCGGCGCGCAAGGCTTGCAGACACTCGCCCGAAGCACGGGGAGGCCTCCCGAGGGCTCCCCGTGCTTCGGGCGACAAGCTGCAGCCCCAGCCCTGCGCGCCGGGCGGGACCTCCTGCCGGGCGCGCAAGGCTTGCAGACACTGCCCAAGCACGGGAGCCCTCCGGAGGGCTCCCGTGCTCGGGCGACAAGCTGCAGCCCCAAGCCCTGCGCGCCGGGCGGGACCTCCTGCCGGGCGCGCAAGGCTTGCAGACACTCGCCCAAGCACGGGAGCCCTCCGGAGGGCCCCCGTGCTCGGGCGACAAGCTGCAGCCCCAGCCCTGCGCGCCGGGCGGGACCTCCTGCCGGGCGCGCAAGGCTTGCAGACACCGCCCGAGCACGGGAGCCCTCCGGAGGGCTCCCGTGCTTCGGGCGACAAGCTGCAGCCCCAAGCCTTGCGCGCTGGGCGGGACCTCCTGCCCGGCGCGCAAGGCTTGCAGAGACACTGCCGAAGCACGGGAGCCCTCCGGAGGGCTCCCGTGCTTCGGGCGACAAGCTGCAGCCCCAAGCCCTGCGCGCCGGGCGGGACCTCCTGCCGGGCGCGCAAGGCTTGCAGACACTCGCCCGAGCACGGGAGCCCTCCGGAGGGCTCCCGTGCTCGGGCGACAAGCTGCAGCCCCAGCCCTGCGCGCCGGGCGGGACCTCCTGCCGGGCGCGCAAGGCTTGCAGACACTCGCCCGAGCACGGGAGCCCTCCGGAGGGCTCCCGTGCTCGGGCGACAAGCTGCAGCCCCAAGCCCTGCGCGCCGGGCGGGACCTCCTGCCGGGCGCGCAAGGCTTGCAGGACACTCGCCGAAGCACGGGGAGCCCTCCGGAGGGCTCCCCGTGCTCGGGCGACAAGCTGCAGCCCCAGCCCTGCGCGCCGGGCGGGACCTCCTGCCGGGCGCGCAAGGCTTGCAGACACTCGCCCGAAGCACGGGAGCCCTCCGGAGGGCTCCCCGTGCTTCGGGCGACAAGCTGCAGCCCCAAGCCTTGCGCGCTGGGCGGGACCTCCTGCCGGGCGCGCAAGGCTTGCAGACACTCGCCGGGGCTGCAGGCTGCTGCCTGCAAGCCTTGTGAGCCCGCGGGAACTCCCACCGGGCTTGCAAGGCTTGCGGATAGCTTCTTGAAGCCTGGAGAGCGAGAGGGTCGGTGCGCACCGATGCCTCTCGCTCTCCAGGCTTCAGCGAAAGCCTGCATTCGCTCCATAGGACGCACACACATTTCCCCTTCATTTTTGGAGGGGAAAAAGTGCGTCCTATGGAGCGAAAAATACGGTATGTGAGGCGATGGAAAGGGATAAAGCAGGGATCAGCAAACTTTTCCAGCAGAGGGCCAGTCCACTGTCCCTCAGACCTTGTGGAGGGCTGGGCTATATTTTTTGGAGGGGAAATGAACAAATTTCTGTGCCCCACAAATAATCCAGAGATGCATTTTAAATAAAAGCACACATTCTACTCATGTAAAAACACCAGGCAGGCTCCACAAATAACCCAGAGATGCATTTTAAATAAAAGAACACATTCTACTCATGTAAAAACACCCTGATTACCAGACCATCTGTGGGCCAGATTTAGAAGGCAACTGGGCTAGATCCAGCCCCCGGGCCTTAGTTTGCCTACCCATGGAATAAAGGGACAATTCCATCCATCTGCAAGACTGCTAAGGAGGAAAGCAAGCCTCAAACTGGGAGTAAATAGGCTTATTCTTTTTTGGGGGGGGTGAAGCACAACATTCAATTAAAATATCCCATTAATATTTCCCCCCTCTCGTTTTAATTCTGCTTTGACCACAAAGTTGGTGTGAAGATGGAACAACCACAAGAGCCCCCCTTTTAAATAATATTTCATTTGTACTTGACACCAGAGTGCTTTCGAAGCCTAACCTACTGAAATGCCACCTCTTTGCTGCTGTTGTTTTCGAATGAGTGCAGTATCTTTGCTGACATAGACTAGGTGTGTTTGTTTTTCAGGTTTTGAAAGTTCTAAAATTTGTGAGCTGAATTTGTAGGAGGCGTTATAATATTACTATTATTTTATTGGTGTGAGTTTTGATCACCTGTGAAACGGAATAATGCACAGCCAGGCAAATGTTTGCTACAGAACTGCTGTCACTGAGCAATGCCTCTCATGTGTTGTTTGCACTTGGTATTTGCATTCTAGGCTGTTATGTTAAACAGCCAATAACTCACCCTGAACTCAGCAATACTTTGTTTTAAATTTGTATAATATTGGCCTGCGTGTGGGTAGATGATTTATCAACTAGGGAAAATGTTTCTTAACACTCATAATGTTCTCAAAAAACTCTTCCTGTGCCCTTTGTAGGTAGAGATAAAGAGGTAGCAACATATTATCTGGAGCCAGTTAAGATTCAGATACATTGTTTTGTGTTTGGGTGTTGCAGCAAAAATATAAGCGTGTGTTGTGTGGTACCTCAAGAAGGCAGACACTTTGGTGGACGGGATGCACAGCGTAGTCTTTAAAGCTGCAACAAGACCCTCTACAGTGGTACCTCAGGTTAAGTACTTAATTCATTCCGGAGGTCTGTTCTTAACCTGAAACTGTTCTTAACCTGAAGCACCACTTTAGCTAATGGGGCCTCCTGCTGCCACCGCGCCTCCGGAGCACGATTTCTGTTCTCATCCTGAAGCAAAGTTCTTAACCCGAGGTACTATTTCTGGGTTAGGGGAGTCTGTAACCTGAAGCGTATGTAACCCGAGGTACCCCTGTACTGTGTTGTGTTCCAACATCAGAATGTGAAGGGGGACCCTCATGAAATCAAACTGGAAAGTCCTTCTCATCTAGAATCAGAGTTTCCAGCTATGTGTCTCGAGATTCACACTGCATCTGTAATTGGAGAGCCAGTGTGGCCCAGGGGTTAACGTGCTGGACTAAGTAAGACTTGGCAGATGGCTGCATGCACACCATACACTTAAAGCACATTTACCGCCCCGTCCCCCACATGGGAACTCTAGTTTCAGGGCACTGGGAATTGTAGCTCTTTGGGGATAAACTACAATTCCCCCCCCAAAAAAATTTGAGTGTATGATATGTATGGCATGCATGCAGCCTAACCCTCAGCCATGGCATGGGAACTCGCTCTGGTCTCAGACCAGTTTCTCAGACGCATATTTCATCGAATGACTGTGCTTATAAAATGGTTGGCAGGGCTGGAGAACAAGGCTTACCACGTCAAGCCACCCAGAGGTCCTGAGAGGACAACGAATAAACATGCTTCTGGGGTCAAATAACTTGGGTATGGTTCTGCAGTCATCATGACTGGCGGGAATTCCCCCCCCCCCCCAGCCCTGTTGTGCGGGTGTGTGGTGACTGCTCTGGAGGGGCTTCCGTTCTTCTGGCGCAGAGCAGGGGCTTCAAGCTGTGGCCCGCTCCGTCTGCCGAGGGCCTTCCCCTCGTGCGCATCGGCCTGGCTCGCTTTCCCATGTGCTCTGGGGAAAGAGCAGCGCCTCCGCCTCCGCCTCCTCCTCCCGCGGGGCGGAGCCCAGCGCGGGGAGGGGAAAGCTGCCTTCTCATTGACCATGTCCCACCCCGCGCCTCGCCGCGCTCTCTTCCTCCCTATCTGTGTCGCACACGCGCGCGCAGCAGAGGGAGGCGGCGGCCGCCACCGCAGCAGCAACAGCTGTAGCTCGGCCAGCCAGCTCCGAGCCTGAGCGCAGAGCAGAGGCGAGGCGAGCGAGCCGAGAGCCAGGCAGCATGGCGGGGCTGCGCTACCCGCCGCAAAGCAGCTACTGCCGCGCGGCCACGGCCATGAACCTCCTGCTCGGCGTCTTTCAGGTCCTCTTGCCCTGCTTTCGCCCGGGAGAAGCGCAGGGCCAAGGTAAGAATGAATGGCTGGAAGAGGCGGCCAGCTTGGAAAGGAGAGGGGGGCTTTTTGCAAAGCGGCGCTGAGGTAAAACAGGGCTGGAAGGTCGCTTCGGGAAGGGAGACCCCCGCACGGGCCCCCACGAGCCGCCCTCCTCATCCTGCCTTTGTGCAGCGGCTCTGCGCTGCCGCCCTAATGGTTCCCAGCCCCGCTGAGGCGGCGGAGTTCCTCTTCCTGCCTCGTCCGCCCTGCCGTTTCGCTTCTTATTTGCTTATTCGCTTTGTTTGGACTGCGAAGGGCGGCCGCGACCTTGTGACAGGCGGGCAGGCGGCGGGGGAAAAAGCGGGCGGCGGCGGCGGCGGCGGCGGCGGCCCACAATGCGGGACTCCTTCCTTCCCTGGCGCGCTGCCGCTGCCCGGGCTCGCGCTGCTGCTGCTGCTTAGGCGGCGTCGGCGATGCCGCCTTGTCTGCAGCCTTCGCGGGTCACCGCTTGGAGGAAGAGGAGGCCCTTGTTTGGACTCGGCCCCAGGCTGATCTTTCCGTCAAAAAACCCCCCCACAAAACCCTGGCTTCCGACGCCCCTTTTGTGCGCCGGGTCTGCCTGCGTTTCGCACGTTGCTGCTGCTGCAGCAGGAGCGTTTTAATATGGAAGCGTCTCAGGGACGAAACAAAACAAAGCCCAGCCTCCTCTCCTGCTGCTGCTGCTGCCTGCAGCGCTCTGGCTGTGAAAGGCCCGCGAGCCGAGAGGAGACTCTCTCCCAGCTCGCGCCGTGTGCGTGTGGGTCGAGGCCACAGGCCTCTGCACGTCCCCCTCTCTGGTTGCTGGTGGAAATTGCAAAGAGCTTTCTGTTTTGTTTTCGCCCCTAGCCATGGACCCCATCCCCAACGTGGTGGAGTTGTGGCAAGCGGAGGAAGGGGAGCTCCTGCTGCCTGCTCAGGTAAGGAAATGAGGGGCGGGGCGAGCGCGGGGTATTGCGCAGGCGCAGGAAGGTGGCCTTGGTGGGAAGTTCTCCTGCCTTTAACTCTGCGCAACGGGAGTTTGCCCTCCTCGACGATGCTGCCTGCAGCTCCGTCTGTTTGCCCCTTTTTTCCCAACCTTGCATGATTTTGCAAGTTACGGTGGCTTCGGATTCGGAGATGGTGAGACCCGGTCAGTACCGGAAGTGGCGCTTCCGCCTCACCTTGCCAGGATTTTGGCAGCAGACGCAGTTATGATTTCATTATGCTTCTGAAAGGGGAATTGGGTAGGCATCAAATAACATGTGATGCTGTTGGGAGGCGCGCTGAAGTCTGGCTGCAACTGATATTTGTAAGGCAAAGCCAATTGATGCAGCATCGCAGCATTACTTCTACAGGGAGCAAGTCTTATTAAATTCAGTGCAGAGGATCAGTTCTGCTTTTCTCTTCTGTTGGTTTAGTGCTTTTCGGGACTGCATCAGTTTATAAACTGTAACACTTATTTTCCCCTCCCCTTTACAATACAGCATCTTTCGTTTCCCCCTTAAATGCCAACCATAGTAAAGTGAGAAAATACAGCAACTTAAAGGAGTGTTTTAGAATTTTTATGCATAGTGAACAGGTTATTCTCAATTTAAGTTAATATTTTATTGAAAAGAATTTGTTTTTATTTATAGAAGTATGTATATACTGCTATATCATAAATACCAGGGCATTGTACATTAACACAATTCAAACCATACAAAATAATTATTGAAGTGTCTGACTAATAAAAATGTTTTAAGCAGCTGATAATAGCTTGTCAGCATACAAATGCCTGCAGCCTGAAATTTAAAAACCAAATGACTTATTTACTTTGTTAACATGTTGAATGTTCCCAAATGAAATAATTATTTGTTTATTTATACCACGTTTAAAGCAAATGAATTGGTTGGATGTGGGTGGGGAGAAATTGCCATTTCTTACAGATACGATGAAAAAAACAAAAACAAGTAGCTGCAACTTTTTTAAAAATGGTTTGTCTGTAGTTGTACACAGGGAGGCATTAGTAAATGCAGTTTTCAGAGAAATGCATGATTGTACATTGCAGAAATCTCAATTCACCAGTGCAATGTTTGGATATTAGTAGATTGATCTAGTAAAGCCTGGTCTAGTGAAGCAGGTGTGGGGAACCTTTAAACCTGCAGATGTTTCTGAACAATAGATCATAATACCTGGCCATTGGTCATGGTGCTGGAACTACTAGGAGTTGCAGTTCAGCAACACAGGGACTACAACCCCCATCACGCCTAGCTAGCATGACCAGTGGTCAGGGAAGATGGGAATTGTAGTCCAAAAACAACTGTAGACCCAAGCTTGGGAAACCCTGCTCTAAGCCGCCATGACTGCCTGCAAGCCTGGGAACCACCTCTGCTAACACTGCAGAAGACTCTCTATTTGAACTAGCAATACATCTGCTGAAAAGCATTCGTCCTGCTGCAGCTTCTGCGGAAGAGGCTATATATTGCATGAGTGGGTGGTGGGTTGACTGACGGGTTTCCCCTTTTGCACATTGCCTCTTCATGTAGCATGTAGAGGTGAGAGTGCTCTTCTCCTTTCTGATGCAAGTCCCCTGGATCTTTCTTGTGAGAGAAGGCTTTGTTAGGGCCATGGTAGTCAACATGGTGTCCTGTAGGTGTTGTTGGCTACTAGCTCCCATCGGCTCCAGCTAGCGTGGTCAATATTTAGGGATGATGGGGTTGTAGTCTCTTGCAGGAGACAGAAGGTGATAGCCCAGGATGAGGGTGAGGGCTGCTGCATATCCAGAGTCCCAATGTTTTTAGTTTAATGTTGAACTTTGACTTGTGATATGTGGGTAGGGTGGGATGGGTTAATTGTATGAAGCATGAGCTTTTTATTGCTCCAGTACTTATTTACTTATGGGACGCTGGTGGTACTGTGGGTTAAACCACAGAGCCTAGGACTTGCCAATCAGAAGGTCAGCGGTTCGAATCCCCACAACGGGGTGAGCTCCCGTTGCTTGGTCCCTGCTCCTGCCAACCTAGCAGTTCGAAAGCACGTCAAAGTGCAAGTAGATAAATAGGTACTGCTCCAGTGGGAAGGTAAACGGCATTTCCGTGTGCTGCTCTGGATCGCCAGAAGCGGCTTAGTCATGCTGGCCACATGACCTGGAAGCTGTACTCCGGCTCCCTCGGCCAATAAACGAGATGAGCACTGCAACCCCAGAGTCAGCCATGACTGGACCTAATGGTCAGGGGTCCCTTTACCTTTACTTATTTACTTATTTTGTCTTACTGCAGTTCTATTTAACTGGGCACTTTTTATAACTTAATGTACAGCTGTTAGGAATCTTTTCTATGTTTCTGGGATAATACTGGATTTGGGATGCATGTGTAGGTATGTTTATTGGTATTTCGATGTTAATATTCTTATATTTTATATGAAATTGATACCAATTACTGTTTTTTTTTAATTAATTATGGATGTCCCCAGAATGTTATTTCTTGCTTTATTTTTCTTAGTGATATTGTGGTAGCAGTTTAAATAGCTGATTTGAATATTAATTGGAAAGGAAAAGCAGAGTGTAAACAAGGAGTGAAATGAAGGTGGCTTGATTTTCTGATTCATTAACTGATTTCAGTTAGAACAAACCACATTTCCACAAGACATGGCATGGCTGTTGCTTGTTCTTGTGTGAAGCAGAAGAATTCACACCTGCTCACATGAGGTAGAGGAAAGGGGAACATTCATAGTTAAGGCCCACTAATTTGTTCACAGTAATTTAAAAGAGTCCTCACCAACTTAGTATCTGCCAGATGTTTGTAGTACAATTCTCACCAGCTCCATTCTGGAGGGGAAAAGGTTAGGCAAGGTAGATCTGAACTATGGTTGTCATGGAAGTTAGGGATGCAACTGTTTATTGTGCATAATTTGTATTACTTATAACTCAGTACCTTGCGGGCAGGGTTGACCTCTAGCTCACCCCTTCTCAGTATCCGGTAGCTAGTCAGACCACTGCATCAGTTCTGCAAGCAAATACTTACAGATGCATGATCAAGTGTATTTGATAGAATAGCTGTTTTCTATCTTTTGATTTCCTGGTAACTGTTGCCTTTTAATTTGTATCATCTGCTGCATGAAAGTTATGACCTGCTGTCACATATGTTAGAGGAAGTTTAGAACCAACATTTTCTTTGCTTATTTAGTTAGCTGTAATTCCCTGTTCCGCGTGTTTTGTAAATAAAATCTGGTCATTTGGTTAACTACATTGGTGTGTTCTGATCCAAAGGGATTCTGACCAGCCTAGTTTATTGTACCCTATCTTATTGTTTTGGGTCTTCTTACCAGACACCTGGGACTCTTACCAGACACCAGCACAAGACTCTTAATCTCAGGGTTGTGGGTTCAAGCCCCACGTTGGGCAAAATATTCCTGCATTGCAGAAGGTTGAACTTGCTGGTTGTCATAACCCCTTCCAACTCTACAATTCTATGTTTCTAGCTGCTGTTAAAGTTGGTATCTAATATTGAGGGGAGTTAGGTGAACAGAGATTGAGAACTGGCAGAGTGCTGGCTTGGTGTGCCACTGAGATTATTCTTTCCTAAATAATTCAGAGTCATAATGACCTAATAGATGAGGTCAGCTAGTGATTCCTTGACCTATTCTAGGATTGTTTTAGTCCTGGTGGGAACACTTGGGCAATTAGATATACGCAAGTAGGACCCTTTGATAAAATGTTGCAGTGTTGAGTGCTTCTACTCACTCCATTCAGTCTCCCCCCCCCCCCCGACACACACCAAGAGTCTCTGTATCAGCAGAGTATGCTGAGGTCATAATTTGCCTTTCGGGGGTTTATTTGAAATTTTTGTGGTGGATGCAATGTGGCATTTCATTATTACGCAGTTGCATATCTGTAGATGTTGTTTCTTGTATGCCAGTATAGGGAAAATAATTATTTCAACTTCAACATAAAATAGTCTTTCTTCTTTTCTACCAAGAACATTTCCCAAGCTATTAGAAAAGGAAAGTTCTTATTTCCTTAGTGTATTGTATTACAGTGGTACCTCGGGTTACATACGCTTCAGGTTACATATGCTTCAGGTTACAGACTCCGCTAACCCAGAAATAGTGCCTCAGGTTAAGAACTTTGCTTCAGGATAAGAACAGAAATCGTGCTGCGGCAGCGCGGCGGCAGCATTATGGGAGGCCCCATTAGTTAAAGTGGTGCTTCAGGTTAAGAACAGTTTCAGGTTAAGAACGGACGTCCGGAACGAATTACGTAAGTACTTAACCCGAGGTACCACTGTACATCACTTTGAAAACTTTTTAGGTGATGAATTCCTGCTCATTTTTTATTTTTTTATTGGCAGACATACTAGTATCAAAATAGAGTCAAACTCATTTAGACATCTCACTGCTGACAGTTCTAAGAAGAAGCAGTGAATTGCTGACAGATCTTCATCATTCTTTGCTGTAGCTGATAGGAGAAGTGCATGCCAAACAGAAGGGCCATGTTGATCTTTGTTTGACTACTTCTTAAAATGCCTTACAAGGAAGGGATTTAGTTTTTAGATTCATATTGTTTTATTTCTCCCTATGGCTTGCCAATTTTTGTTCAACCTGTATGAAATTCCAATGCCAACTCATAGAATTGTAGAATTGGTACCCCCAAGGATCTTCTAGTTCAACCTCCTGCAATGCAGGAAATATATTAACAAAATGTTTTAAAGGCCCAAGGGTGAATTGAGGGTTAAGTTTTTGTTTGTGAAAATACCCGGCCACCAGAGTTATTATTTTAAGTTCTGTCAGAACTTTAGTCATTGTTGGATGGCTTTGGAATGCCACCAGAGGGTAGAAGAGACCTTTTCTATATGTAGAGGTAAAAGGTAGTATGCAACCAAGTTTTACTCAGAGTAGACCCATTGAAATGAATGGACCAGACATAGTCTGAGTAAAACTTACCTGAACACTGGTTGAAGGAAATATCAGTGCATTTGGGTGCATATGATACAGTGCAAATATGGTCAAGTAATATGGGATGAGGCAGTGTTATAACTGCTCTACTGAAATAATATTGTGCCATAGTATACCTATTTTTAGTCACTTGCAAGTTGAAAAAAATAAAATAGCCAACTTAAGCTTACCAGGTTGCATGGAGATGACCCTCACTTTCTGCCAAGCAGTTGTGCAGTGACCATTCTCTCAATGATGTCTGTGCGAACAAGCCCTTCTATCCACTATGAATTTGTACAGAAATGTTGCATATACATATATGTGTCTGTGGTTACCTAAATTTCCTTGTGTGCCCTCAGCTGTATGACGAGGGCATCCAGGGAGTCCTAGCCCATTCAAGAAATGATTTCCAGTTAACTTTCAGGGAAGTAGGAATGACCTTGTGGCAGTGGCTATATCTGATGCCCTCCCTGCCCCTAACCTCTAACTGCACTTTATGGTGCCCAAGGAGAGCCGAACCTGAGTTGTATTTGGAGTGCTTTAAACAAGCATGTTTTTGTATTTATACATCACTACAACAGTGATTGCTGTCTATGAATATATGCCATCAAAATGCATATAAAAGCAACCACAAATAGCAGGTTTCCTTTGAACTTTCCTTTGTGGGAGCAATGGTTAATTTGTTTTTTTAAAGGACTGGTATTTCCTTTTTTATTTTGGTGGTACTTGTGGGCAAAGATTAAATAAAATGGAGCAGCTGTGAAGGTGTTAAAAATACAGTTTTGTCTTAATTATCAGCAAGCTTCCACATTTATTTTACTTAAGCTACTGTGGGCATTTCCTAAAGTTCTTGGAATCAGACTGATACAAAATATATGATACAGTTATAATTTGAAACTAATGAGAAACAAAAGAAAAAGAAACATTGAAACCAAGAAAAATTAAGCTGGACAAAGCCAAGTCTGGAAACATAAAGCAGCAGCTGCTGTTTCTGCAAATATGAACACTACCCCAGATACATGAAGAAATTGGTGCAGAGGGTGCCAGCTGATTAGAGCCCTATCTTTGTTTTTGCTTGTTGCATGAAGAGTTATAGCCAGATAAAGTTAATCACTAGCTTGTGTAGGACTGCTGGTAATACTTTCCTTCATCTGTATTTTGACAATACACTGTTGCAAACTTTCAAAGAGAGAGAGTGATTGGTTAAAAAAACTGAAGAACTACTATTGATGGTTTAAAATAACTCTAAATATGGAATCTGCATAGCAGAATCTGGTTACAGAATTACAGGCCTACAAGGAGTCTGAAGGTCATTTTAGTCTTTGTGTTAAATCACATTTATACCACAATTAAACTCCATTACAGATTAACTTTATCCTGATAACATGCCACAAGCCATGACCCAGAGCTAAAAAGTGCTTTGTTCTAAATTTCCCCATAGCCAACGGATTAACGAAATGTTTTATTAGGGCTGTCTATATAGTTCAATTGAGCAAACCTAGAAACATTTTGAAGGGGAAAGCAAAATCCTTAAGGGCATTGGCCGTCAAACCTGCATGCAAGAATTTAGCCAACTGTAAGGAGAATGCACCCGTTTGTCTATTTTAAGGGTATTATTTGCACACATCCGCACATACACACCTGTGTTACAAAGCTATGGTTGAAGCTGTTGCAACTTTCAGAGGTTGCATGTGGTTTCATGGGGAAAATGGATTCTTCTCTTGCCTCTTGACAGAGATTCTTCAAGAGAGAATTGGGAGGTATACATATAATTTGAGCATATCCACCGAGATTCCGAAATGTATGACACTGGATTCACTACTTGCCATGAGTCACTGGGTTGCCAGAAGTGGGCTTTGGGGACATTGGTTTCCCAGAGTCTGAGCTTATGAATGGAATGCCATTCCCATCTTTTATGAATTTGTGATTTCCGGGACTCTCCCAGGAGTTTTCAAGCAGCTGTAATTTTCTGCTGATATGTAGGCTGTTACCCAACTTAAAAAAAGGAAAAAAATCTGGACGGTGTTTTTATTATTGACATTTGGTGGACACGGGTGGTGCTGTGGGTTAAACCACAGAGCCTAGGATTTGCAGATCAGAAGGTCGGCGGTTCGAATCCCCGCGACGGGGTGAGCTCCCGTTGCTCAGTCCCAGCTCCTGCCAACCTAGCAGTTCGAAGGCACGTCAAAGTGCAAGTAGATAAATAGGTACCGCTCCGGTGGGAAGGTAAACGGCATTTCCGCGTGCTGCTCTGGTTTGCCAGAAGCGGCTCAGTCATGCTGGCCATGTGACCCGGAAGCTGTACACCGGCTCCCTCGGCCAATAAAGCGAGATGAGCACCGCAACCCCAGAGTTGGTCATGACTGGACCTAATGGTCAGGGGCCTTTACCTAACTGCAGAACAGGTGGACAGCATCAATTTGTAAGTCATTCTTCCAGCCTTATCTTGACAGTGACTGTGCATTGGTATCCTATCCACATATTATATTATGCTCAACTAAATTTTATACAGTGAATAATAGATAGCTAGTTTTTTGACATAGTGAAATCAAATGCCATCTGAAATGATATCATGGTATAGTTAGCTTGTGGAGTTAATAAGATGCTGAACATTAAATAAAAGATGCCTGAATAATCTTGCTGAACACGCATTTGCAAATGCATGTATTCATATGTGTTCAAAGGAGTTGGTCAAACTTCCATGAGAATAGAGTTGGCAGTGCAGATTGGCCTGCTGCCATGTAAACCTTTGGATGCCCCCCCCCCCGCACACTCATTCCTGTATCTGAGGACACATAGGAGTGAGGTAGGGGTAGAAAAACAATAGGCTTGCCATATGTCAGGAAAATTCCTGACATGTCCTGGTTTTCAGGTGTAAAAATGGCGTCAGGGGAATTTAGTCAGGGAAAACCTGGATCTATGGTAGTGCTATGGAAAAAGCAGCAGAAACAGCTCCAAAAAGCTTTAAAACACTGTTGGGGGCCGGGGAGGTTTTCCCAAAAAAGCTCAACAAAGTTTGCGGGTGTTAGGAATTGTACCTTTTGAAATATGTCAACCCTAAAATACAACAATTAAAATACATATGTTTGACCTATGAAGTGTTGCATCATTTTATCCGTGGGCCTTTCTTCTAAGATAGGCTTGGATGTTGGTCACTTGAGGTGATTTGTTTTTATATGAACTCAGAAGGAGCAAAGCTTATATGGGTACATTTTATGGCTTGTACATCTGTTTTCTCTGGATAGCTGATACAGATTCATTTTGTCTAAATGCACACACTTTAGGTTTTTGGGTGGGCAACAAGCAACATCATCCTGTTTCATCCTGGCACTTAAGGTACCTCAAGTATAACAAAATATTTTTCATTAGAACAAAGTACCTGGATGTTCACAGGTACTTAAGTGGTTCCACAAAGCGATGCTGTTGGACTCAAGTTCTCATCAGTCCCAAACAGCACAGCAGTGGTGAGGACTGATAGGCACTGTTGTTTGAAAGGATGAAAATGACTCAGTATTTCAAAATTCCAGTTCTGAGGGGAGGTTGTACTGAAAAAAACAAAAAACAATTTGGCACCCTCCAGCCTGAAAATAGTCCCAACAATTTAGGGAGGTTGTAAGATTAGGAAATGATGCTTCAGTGCTTGTGGGGTTTTCTGAAGACCGTTTGGAGTGATATACTTGGCTGTTTATGCTACCTTCTGAAATTATACTGACTGCTTTTACTAATCTCAGAAGTGATGCTTGCTATTCTTTCACATCTTAACTTTTTTATTAAAAAAAATGTAGTCTGGACAGATGAATGAATATAATTTAGAATAAGGTATTATTTGTTTGCTTAAAATTATTGACCACTGTTAAACTGATAAATGTGATAAACCAGACTCTGCAATTTCCTCAGCTATATTGAACTCACTTGTACTGGTTCTTAAATTTGTCTTGTTCGCTGAATAATCAGTGCTTAGCAAAATGAAGTGGGCTGATTCAAACATCATTCAGTATAGGGGGTCCCACTGAACAGAATATCCTTAAACAGCTCTGGGATTGCTAAAATACAAATGTATGCTGGAAACTTACATTTGCTGCTTATATTTCATGGTATTTTCTCTGTCCACTAGGCTGAATCAGAGGAGGATGTGGAAGAACATCCACAAGAGCAGAGGTAAGCAGTGTTAAGATAAAAATAAACATCTTCCATCATACAACAATAAACTATGTTTGCATTATTCCCTATAGTAATAGTGAAGTCGGTTACTTTGAATAATTTAATTTATGCTTGCTCTCTTAGTTGAGTGATGAAGATTAACAGCTTAACCTGTTGTTTTTGTCAGTGTTGTGGTTTTATGTTGTATGTTGCCCTGCAATATTTCTATGGAAATATTTCTATAGAAATCTGGTTTATTTATCAATAGATCAATGAATGAGGCTTTAATTTTTTTTAAAAAAATGCTTCTCATGCAGTATTCATTAGCCATGCATTATAAGTTTAATTTTTAAAAATGTCGAAGTACCAGGTTCTCTTCAGATAAGAGAGTCTTTTTCCAGAGAATCCATACTAACAGAAATAAAATACAGAAGAGAGAGGGGGGTGCCTTGTTGATGCTTTGTTTAATTAAAACTGAATTCAGGTTTTCTTATTAGTGCATATTCACTCTTACTGTCTAAGAGTATGATCAAGTTTCTTTTACCTTCTTATTGCCAGCAAATGATTAAAGCCTAGAGCAGATGGTAATTGCACTGCTCCTTGTTTTCCTGCCAAGGTAAAAACAGGATTATTTTTTTTCAGTGAAGGCTGTTTTGAGAAGCGTATTGCTTCATTTAGTTTTCTGAATGTAAAAATTGAAATCTACTTGGCATTGAACAACTTGGCATTTTCAGGCCTTTTGGTAAGGTAAATGTGTCACCTGCTGCAGCTGCATTCTCTCTCAACAGCTGTCCTGTTCTAGGGCATTCATACCATATCATGACTAGCATTAGCTAGTACATACGGTATATTTTTAATAACCTTATGGCATTAACTAGTTGTATAAAAAAACTAATGCATTTGGATTACTGCAATGCATTTTATGTGGTGCTGCCCTTGAAGATGGTTCAGGAACCTTAGGTAATACAAAGCACAGCAGCTAGATGGTTAACTTAGGCTCCAGAAACCTAGCCCATGTAGCCAGTTTTGAACCCACACCAAGTTCCTTTATGGTCCATTTTAGGGCTTTACCCTGCTCCAAGTCATCTAGAGAGTTTTAAAAGTGATATCAAAGACTGTCTTTCCTCATATAACCTGCATGAGTATTCAGATCTTCATTCGAGGTCCTCTCTGGGTGTGGCTCCTTTCAGATGTAAGGTGATAAGGAATAGAACCTTTTAGTGCAGACACCCCAAGTCTAAAATGCTCTCTCCAGGGAGGCTTACCTGGTTCAGGGCTTGGTGTTTTTTCACTCACTCTGGCCTTTCCTGGTATTGTAGTATAGAATTAGATCTTGGTATGGCTTCATCTTGCAAGCAAACCTATGGTTATTACCCACCTTGTGGAGTTAAAAAAAAACACAAAAAACTGTTTATATGAACTATCTCTCACACTTTATTTTTCCTTAACAAAGTTGACAGTGTTGGTTTTTCTGCCAGGAATTCTTTAGTACAGCTATTAATGATTATTAATGATTGGAGCAAAGACTGGCTTAGCTTTGCAGTGAAAACAGAATGACTTGGTGCACCCAGTTAAGAGCAAAGTCCAACATTCAACTAGTACTCTATAGAGTACATCTTCCATAATTTTGATGGCACTTTTTCTTTTAGTCTAAAAAAAGATTTTAAAAAGTCAGGCCCATTCTCAAACTATTAGACTTCAAGGATACTTCATAGAGCAGGTGTGGGGAACCTTAGACTCTCCAAATGTTGTTGAACTACAGCTCCCATAATCCCTGGCCACTGGCCATGTTTTCTGGGGCTGATAGGAGTTAGCAGATGCTTTGACCTCCCTCAGAAGCCTTCTCTGAACATGTGTTGTGTGCATGCGAGACATTTAAAAATGAGTGGTTTTTAAACTGGTTTGAAGTGAGCTGCTGCCTAATGCCTACACCAGGCTTCACAGGTGTAGGCCATTATTCTTTATTATCCCAGAAGATACGCTTTCACAATTTTAATAAGCTGATATGTATGTACGCGTACACTCCCCATTCCTCCTATTCGGTGATCTGTCTTCTGTTCATATATTCAAAGAACTTGGATCATGGAATTGCTTTAGCAGGTGAAGAAAAGACCTGTTCTGTTTTGAGAAATCTGGCTCCTTTCACTTATTTGTGGTAACATTCCTTTAATATTCCAATAGCATGGAGAGAGAATCTAGAAGTTGGAATATATCTTCAACTGTTCTTAAGAAGTTATTTTCCTATATTTGGATATAAGTAAGCACAGGCCGCATCCAACCAACTCCCAAAACTCCCCCTCCACCCCCAATTTCTATAAAGAACAGGTACAAATTAATGGCCAAAAGCAAAATGCATAACAATTTCTGAAAGTTGATAAAGTATCTGTTGTTGTTTAAAAAAAAAAAAGCTCTACTAAGCCCTACTAAGCTCTCAAAACATGATAGCGATCTGCAGTGTTGTATTCTTTAATTAACTCATTTCACTTGTTAGTCTAATTTTAGAAATAACCGGTGATGCACAGACAACTGACTTCCTGTGTGTATGTGTGTAGGCATACCTCAGAATATCTCTATAAGGTCATTTAATATGATGTGCAGATAAGATGATGATTCTATTACCTGTTTTCTTTATATCCAAAATCCAAATGTCTGCTTTGGGTTAGAACTGAATATATAAATGTCGTTGTCCAAGATGCCATCATGCTAGACATTTTTGAAGAAGTCTTTCTCTTTGCAGCATTGTAGGCTGGTCACCAGGATACATTTATGTATCCTAATGGACTATTAGTTTCCCATAACCAAAGGGAAGATTTAGCTCATGTGTCTCTCATTGGTCTTAGTCTTTACGGGGTAGTTGGTATTTTGTTTAGTGTAGGAAATGTAGACATTTACTAGGTGAATGCTTTAATTGAATCTACTTTCTTTATCTAGCTGATAAAGAAACCATCTCAAACTAGGAGACATTGAATGTTCTACCTGCTCCTTCCTAAATTATGGGCGGGTCCTTTGGGGATAATGGAAGCTATGAGTTGAAGAGCATCATTAGAAATGGGGTGGTAATAAGTTCCAGCAGTACTGTAGATTGAAATACATATTCTGACTTCTTAGGTGGACCCTTGAGGCCAAGCTCCCACTGCCATGTTTTGATGCCAGTATCCAGTGGGAAGGCTGAAACTGAATACATTGTTTACATTATTCACATGTTAGTGGAGAAAGCAATTCCCTGCACCAGGTGAACCAGTTGAAATAATGTAATAACTGCCATAGTTGAAATAGGTCAGGCAGACTGCTTATATCTGATTATGCTAAACTTTTTCAGAGACACTACTTTTCTACTTATTAAACTCCAGACAATCAGCCTTTCTGCTTGTCCTCCAAGTGCATTTTACCGTGTTAAAATGGTGTGCAGCAGGCAATTCGTTAATAAATCAATTGACCTACATAAAATTTCCGTCATGGGACTGTGTTAGGGAAACAAACTTATTTTTATTGTTAGATTTAAAATGGGAGGGGTTGTCCTTTTAAGGATGGTCCTTCACTTTAGCAGTCTGCTCATTGAGAAGCTGATATGAGATTTGGTTTTTGTGCCAAAACAGGTTGTCCTTGTGCTCCACATGGGAATCTCAGCAAATTATGTTTTTGCAACCACAAAAGGGTAGCAGCTGGGAGTTCAAGGAAACTATCAGGGGATGTGCCTTAATGAATCTAGTATTTATGTATCACTATTGGTAGTTCCATGTGGGCAAATTCCATTCTAGTTCTTAGTACTCCTGGGAAAATGTACAGTAAGTCACAAAGTTGATTGCTTTGGATATAAGCAATTATATGAATCTATAGAGATATGTGATGTCTGTTGTTAATGGATAATTACTAGTTCTTTGGTGGGGGCGGGGGGAAGCTAGTATGGAAGCCATGCAGAATAAGCATGATGTGGTTACTACTTTTTATTATTCTTATAAAAGCATCTATTAACATTGTGTATCATATATCAAAGTTCTCCAGCTGCATGAGAGACAGTATTGTGGGGCTGTTTGTGCTGCTGGTATTTTTCACAGCACATCGCACAGCCTACAGTTTTATCTTTTGAGGGTGGAGGGCATGTCAAAAGATCTTTTACTTAAAAGGAAAACAAAAATACTGCATAGAAGAACATGAATGTGGAAAATAGCTTTGTGTTTGTTATTCCTGTATTGATTAAAAACAGCTTTCTTGGATGTCAGAGTTGTGACATTTGAAACATTTTGGTGAAATGCCTTCAGCTTGTTTACAATCTTAACATTTGAAGAGGGTTTTGTTTTCCAGGAGCCTTTAAACCAACATAATCATTCTTAATCTGACTATTCTTCAAATCATTTTAAAGACTGAAATATTTTATGGTCCTTGAGTTTATAAAAGATTTCCATTATGGGTTCAAGTTAATGGTCCTTGAGTTTCTAAAAGTTATTTGGAAAATATAAGGTATTATGTACTTAGTATAAGGATCAGGAAACTGCTAGTGTATTTATGTTCTTCTGAGAGTTAATGTTTATTTGTTAATACAAATGAAAGTCAAAAAGGCAGTAACACGTATTTCTTGTACAGTACTGCACATGTCTATACCTTTATGTACTGCATGTCAAAGCTGCAATTCCAGTATTAAGCCTACTAAGCAGTAAACCTTATTGGACTCAGTGGGATTTACTACTGAGTAAACATGCACCCTGTTGCACAGTTAATATATATTTCAGTTAAGACTGCTCTGTGTCAGGATTGGGAGAGGGGGAGTGTTACAAAATAAACACAGAAGCGGCAGTAAAATCACAAGACATGCTATCTACATTATAAATCTAATCTAAAGTTCAGTTGTTAGTCTAGCATCAGTCTCCTTGACAGTGAACCATCAGACATTTTAGGACTTGGAAAATGAGGTTATATATGTTATGTGTTACTAAAACAATGTTTCTATATAGGTTAGAGATCAGAATATGCAGAAATAGAGATCTGGTTCATTTAGGAGCTGGGATTGAGTCTGTTCAGGAGCAACTACGTTGCTGGACATCCATGCTGTTGGTAACTTTGATCACTATTCTTCATTCCCCCCCCCCCCGCTGTATTCGTAGGCCAACTTTGATGGGTGGGTGAGATTGCCTGCCTGCCAGTCACCTGATGGTCTAATGTCATGCGGACAGTGCATGTCAGAGTTAAAAGATAATTGTAACTGCAGATCAGCTGGCCAGTGATTACAGCAATCTCCTTTACAGGTGCACTCCTTTGTAAATGCACTTCCAGCGACAATCAGCTGATTGGCAGTGAGAGTGCACCTTCAAGAGGGTTTCCTGTAACTACTGATCAGCTCATTTGCAGTTACTGGGCCCTTCTTCAGAGTCTTTTTGGAGCAATCACTTGAAATCCAAACTCCTTCCTCTGTAGAAGGAGGAATGACCTGTTTAAAGATATACCATTTTTTCCTACATATGTTGGGGAAGTGGTTTGTATTCAAAGTGCTGCCTGCAAACGGAACAGTTTTTTTCTCTGCAGAGAGAAAAATGCTCCATTTGGAGGAAGTACCGTATTTTTCGCCCTATAGGACGCACTTTTCCCCCTCCAAAAATGAAGGGGAAATGTGTGTGCGTCCTATGGGGCAAATGCAGGCTTTCGCTGAAGCCTGGAGAGCGAGAGGCGTTGGTGTACACCGACCCCTCTCGCTCTCCAGGCTTCAGGAAGCTATCCGCAAGCCTTGCACGCCCGGCGGGAGTTCCCGCGGGCTCACAAGGCTTGCGGGCGGCAGCCTGCAGCCCGGAGCACGGGGCGCCCTCCGGAGGACGCCCCATGCTTCGGGCAGGTGTCCGCAAGCCTTGCGCGCCTGGGGCAAGTTCCCGCGGGCTCGCAAGGCTTGCGGGCGGCATCCCGAAGCACGGGGCACCCTCCGGAGGATGCCCCGTGCTTTGCACAGATGTCCGCAAGCCTTGCGCACCCAGGGGAACTCCCCCCGGGCTTGCAAGGCTTGCGGATAGCAGCCTGTTCTGGGGGCTGGGGTCGGGGGAAGCTCGGGCTTCCCCCGCCCCAGCCCCGCGGCTGGGGGGGAAATAATTTTTTAAAATTCATTTCCCCCCCCAAAAATGAGGTGTGTCCTATGGGCCAATGCGCACTATAGGGCGAAAAATACGGTACTTCGAATCCAAACTGCTTTCTCCAGCCCACTAAGCTGCTCCAGGCAATTAGATCCCAGTGGGATCTCATTATGATATTGTACACGATACAGCAGAGCACAATACAGTAGTACCTCGGGTTAAGAACTTAATTCGTTCTGGAGGTCCGTTCTTAACCTGAAACTGTTCTTAACCTGAAGCACCACTTTCGCTAATGGGGCCTCCTGCTGCCGCCGTGCTGCCGGAGCACAATTTCTGTTCTCATCCTGAAACAAAGTTCTTAACCTGAGGTACTATTTCTGGGTTAGCAGAGTCTGTAACCTGAAGTGTCTGTAACCTGAAGCGTCTGTAACCCGAGGTACCACTGTATAATAAAAACAAAACATTAAAACAGTGTGTGAGTGCACAGACAAAAAGCAAAATGGATCTGTTTCAGGGGCTCATATTGTCTGGTCATCAATTGGAATGAACAGAGTGATGTATACTGGGTCAGGCAGATGGTCAAGCTCCAAAAGGTGGCTATCCTAGTTATGGTACAGGCATTTCTAGAGCAGCAACTCTGTATAATGAGAGCAATATTACCATGTTGTAGATAGTGATAATGGACAATTGTAGCTACTTAACTTTTGCCTTTTAGCATAAAAAACGTCCCAAACCAAGCCACTCCTCATTGTAGGCTTGGGGAAACTGTGGTCCTCTAGATGTTGTAAGACTCCAGCTCACATCAGTCAGCAAGCCCAATGGCCAGGAGTCTAGGAACATCTGCAAGATCACAGGTTCTCATCTCTGCCCTGTTGACTACCTAGATCTCCTGATGAGGTGTAGTAGCCTCTTCTTGCCATTAGCTCCTTGGGCCTGTTCACTGGTTCTGTAAGCTCTGCTCTGTTTAAACTATGACCCCAAAAGAGTAATCAAGCACCTAAAATACAGATCCTCATAAACAGTAATTTCACCATCTCATAATTTCTGTTATACCAATAAGGGAATTCTCTTTCTCCGTACTGATGTGTTTAACCTATTCTAATGTACCACTTCTTGATATATTTATCAATATGCTATCCTGTTTGTGGTAATTTTTTTGTTCTTGTTTTGCTAAAGTAAATATGGCAATTCTATTACCTTTATATTTTAGTTCTTGAACCTTGTAAATAACAGTAAGCATCAGTTTTGTAGGTTGCATTAAAAATTTATCAAGGAGAGAAAGAAGCTGAAATTACTTCAGATTAATTATCTGGTGTGCGTTTTCCTCAAGATTATCCCAACAGCAGCTGGTGAAAATAGCATTTGAGGACAAAAGAAAGAACATAGTCTCTTAAGTTTTATAGCTAGTGACAGTTGCTTTGTCTGGGTATTCGTCAAAGGGCAGCCAAGTGTCAGAATAATCCTCGATTCCTATCTTGAACTGAAGTAATTTAATACATACCATTTTCCCATTGCTAATGCTTCTCTCAATTATTTTTCTGACTGTTGTTTCTCTTTTGTGTGTATTTAATGGAGTTCCAGTTTCAAATTAATCTTAAAAGACAAATATCTTGTTAATATTTTATGAAAGAATTGCAGGCAGACATAATTGCCACTTTTGCTGCAAGAGGATGGAACAAGAAAGTGGAGCTTAATATAATTGTGAGAAGTGTAAGAGGTTTAAAATCAGAATGTTTTGCTGGCTATGTTTGAAAGTAATGCTAAACGATCATTTAGTGTAAAGTGATCAAGCCACAGGCCGTACCTGCAAGGAAGAGATTAGATGTTTTATCTTTCTTTTTTCAACTAAGCACAGTTTGTTCCTATGCCTGAATCTGGACAAGCTGTGTTAATGACAGGAATAGCCATTGAGATGCCATGCGGGTATTGGACTACAACTTCCATGTTGCTTGACCATTGGATATGCTGGCTGGGGTTGATGGGAGTTGATGTCAAACATCTGGAGAATGCACATCAGCTACCCCTGGTTGGGAAACAGGCCAATATTAGAAATCACTTGGCTTGTTTCCCTTGAGTTGAGACTAAACACAGTTTGTATGGGTTTGGACATAACAAACACAGCTGATATTGCAGCTCTTGTAAGGAGAGGGAGACTAAAGCATAGCTTGTTATTATGCCTAAATCCAAGAATTGTGGTGGACAAGTTCTCAGTTTTGAAAAAAATGAGTATGAAAAACCAGAAATTAAATGTTTTAACTAGAAGCAGGGATATATCTGAGATAAATGCTGGATATAATCTTAACTGGGAAATGATGCTTCAGAGATGAAATAACTAAAGCGAAATGAAAGAAAACAGGCTCGGAGATCTAGTCAGATAAATACAGTTGGCAACGCAAATGTTCTGAACCATCTGTTGTCCTTGAGAGGACAAATCGTAAATTTACTGAATGAGGTTTCATTTTCACTGTGGTTTCTCAGTTGAGTAGACCTAGCCAAAACTTATATTTAGAGGTGAAGTGTTATCTAAACTTGGGTGTAGCAATGCTTTTTTGTTGTTTTTTTGTTTTAAAAAAGCTTTTGCAACGACGTGGAAAATGTGCTGCCTTCTGAGGGGGTTAGTTTGTGTTGAAAGACTCTTCCACAATATCTTGCTGCCTGTCATTTTCAAAGCCTTGTTCATGGCAAGTAGCAACAGAATGCCAGGAGCTGAAAGGGCTCTTCTACTTGACCAGCTCCTTGACCCATGACTTACATGCTTTGTTGTGGCTGTTAACTGCTTTTCTTCAGTGCCAATTTGATTTCTGTTGCAATGTTTCCACTTTGAGTCTCTTGTCCCATCCCCCATCCTGTCGCTCCCCTCCCCCTCCCATTGTAAATAAGTCCTTCTAGCCAGTACGATTACTGGTAGTAATCGTCCACTTTTTACAGCACTGGTGAATTTCTAAGATTGCAGTCTTTCTAAGTGCAGCTCAGATTGTCTGGTTTTTATACTCTGTTTTAAAGATAACATGTTTGGGAGTGTGTGTGTGTATTTGTCTTTTAAAGAGGTATACTCTTGCGCAGCTGATTTATACTGCTCTTCTCTCTCCTATTTTAAAATATACCTTAGCAGTGTCGATTAGAATTCTAGTTAAAAAGGTTGAGATTACTACTTGGCTTCGTCCCAAAGTCCTAAAAGAAGGTACTGTACATTTTAAGGATAACTTAGGGTGTTATGTTCCATACTGCCTTTAAACACAGGCTGTATACAAGGAGAGTCATAGTGTCACCATCTGGATGTCATGGCAGAACGTTCAGTGTGACATGAATAAGCCAAGGTGAACTTCAAGCCCTCTCCTTTTCAGCATGACCACAAAGATGAGTTTGGAACCTTTTTATTACTGCTCAGTTAATGACCGATAATGTCTTTGGCTGCAGACATTGGGTTGCTAAAGGGTTCACTGGATGGCATTGAACAAATTACTTATCACATAGCCTTTCCTATTTTATGTGGGATAATATCCACATACCCTGAATTCCTTGAAGAGTGAACAAAATACAAGTGTGACAAAAACAAATTAAGAAGTGGACACAACTGCAAAGCAAAAACATTTGAAGGAATTTGAAGGAATATCTAATTTCTAATGCATCCTTAAGAAAGTTGCAAGTTTTAAGAATGCTATTATCATGTGTTCCCATCTGGTGGTGCTGATTACAAATATGAGAGCTGCTACTGGTTTTGAGTTCCCTCTGACAATATAGCTTCCAAAGAATATACTAGCGCTCTGACATGCAAAATCACCTGTGGTCAGATCCACCTCTTAAACTGTAGCTCTGACCATGAGTAAGATGTGTGTCACAGTAGTTCTTCAGACAGTTACACATGAACAGCAAATGAAGAGGTAAAACTGTTCCACCTTCAGACTGCAGATGGAGCAACTGCATTTGTTTGGTGTTGTGTGGATAGAGCAATGGACTTGGCCCAGTGAGATTTATGTTAAGATCTTTATTTAAGTCATGAAGCTCACTTGAGTGACTTTGGCCCAATCACTCTCAGTCTACCCAATTTCATAATGGCCTGGTTGGAACATAATGTGAAGACATGGTTGGTTTAGCCAAGTTGTGGTTTGTTTAAATGTCTGAACCCACCATGGTTTGTTTTCTGGAAGCAAACTATGCGTTTTTTTGCTGGCTTGCTAATCATCGCTTGTTTTAACTGTGAACCCAACAGCTATTTTCATGGGCGTAGCCAGGATTTGCTATGTATTTTTTTTGATTGGGGGGCAGCTGCCCCTCCCTGTCCCCCCAGGCTATGCCCATGGCTATTTTACTATAGTTTATTGATTTGGGGAGAGGGGGCTACCCTGCCTCAGATTCTCACCAGGCTACAGAGGCAAGAACAGCTGGAAAAAGTTGAAAATAAAGGAGAAGATTGGAAGTGAGGTAACAGAATTCCAGCCTTTCTTTTCCCCCTAATGTGGTAGTTAGCATTCCCTGTGTATGGTTTTTTTCATGGTAGATTGGTCAAGAATATGCCCCCACCACACTAAAATCCGCATCTGTACTCCTATACCTGAGAAGCAGTTTACAGTTGCTGTTTCTGTGTAGATTAGGCCATAATGAAGTTGTTTGTGATGATATTAGGTTCTCTCTTCCTGTGGATAATAGATGATATTCAGTGTTAGTCATTGACTATTACCATTGAAATCAATTAGTCTACTAATTTCAATGCGTCTACTCTTGAGCATAACTTACTTGGATATCACCCAGTAACATTAGAAGCAACTGCATAGCATTCAACTCTCCCTGTAGCTAGTTTTCTTAGGGCATGTCCTTTGTGTTTAGATCTATCAGATGCTACCTGTAAGTTGTTGTGCATTGTTATAGACCCCAATCTCTGCTGAGTGGCAGCAAATTCCAGGGGTCTTGGCACTTAACCAGGGTTTGTGTTCTTTTGGAATGAGGCACAGCAGACACTGTCGTGTCTTTAAGAAATATGGTTTATTTACACATATTTACAGCTGAGTTTTCAGTGGAGGGGGTGCAGAACATTACACCCCATTAGTGTCTCTTGTTGTTCCCCTCATAGCTTCAGCAAGCTTGCGGCCAGAGCAAAGCCAGTCATGCTCCCCAGTTTTTCAGTGCAGCCTCTCCCAGCCTGTATGCATGGAGTTCTGGCCCCTTCCTCATTCTTCCCCAAAATCCTCCAAATGCAACTCAGGCTGTGTGTAAAAAGGGCATTCTTTTTTCCTGTGGTGACATCACACCTTCCCTAACCCTAGCAATTTCTCCCTCCCAACTCTGCTATTGTCTCTTGCTTACACACAGCTGGGGGAGGAACTCCCCCCCCTTGACTGACACTGAAGGCCGATATCTTTTGTCAAGGCAATGGCCCTTCTCTCACCTGTCTTTGTTCTTTGATGGCACCTCTGTCAACTGATCTCCTTAAACAGAAGAACTGGCTCAGCCTGTATTTTTACACTGTGCCTGGCATCTTCCCTTAGTACTCCAAATATTAGCTAAAGCCTACAATTTACTAAATTAAAAATTTAGGGGGAGCCCCATAAAAAACCCCCATAATGGTATCTATCAGAAATTGAATATCTGGTCTAGCAGTGGGGGGAAAGATGCTCTGTCGTGACATTTTGATAATCAGTCCCTCTATATCCAACGTTCATGTTGTAAGTGCCATTGATTATGTCGCCAAAACAGTACCACCTGTGCAAATGGAAAGCCCCAAGGCTTGTACAAGTAGAGGGGGGGAAAAAACCTACGGGGGATTTGTTGTTGTTGTTGAGATATTTCACACAAGATGAAAAAGACGCTTTCATATTTAGCATAAGGGTTCATAGTTGTTTTTAGGTTTTTCAAGCTTAGTTTAATATTACAGAATTTTATATTGTTTACTGTCTTGGATGAATTTGCTGTGTGGGGTGATTGCCCAAGATGTTGAAATGTGGGCACATAAAGTAATAGTGCACAGGTCCCAGAAGTTGAGTAAGAGTGTGCTGATTTCTACATCGACACTGGCATCTGTCCTAACAGCAGTTCTGTCACTTGTTTAGCCAATAGGTGTTCTTTTTAGTTTAGTACATTTTTATAACTTTAGCAGTAGGATTTTGAATACCAAACAATTTCACCTGTTCTTTGAGTAGATTATAAGAATGCTAGAGGAATGTTTTTGACTTGCTTTTTGCAGTAAGTTGTGCTACTCATGTTGTCTTTATCTTACCACTAAGCAGAGTACTGATAAAGAAACATGCATTGCAAACAACGTCAGTAGGAGCACAAAAACAATTCTGTCTTTCATCTCCATTTCGTAGCATAAAAATGGTTGGCCTTTTCTACCCTATGCTTAAGGAAAAAAACCCAACTATACTATGGAAACCATTAAAATTTCATTTGGTAGGATATGCAAAGTGGCAATATAGATTTATAAAGTTGCAGGTAAAATATGAGTTTGTAGTGGCAAAAACAAAGGCTGCAGCTCAAAACAGTGTTAAAAAAGCAAGAGCAGTGTGGCACCTTCCAAAATAACAAATTTATTGTGGCATGTGGACCAGAGCCTACTTTATATGGCTGAAATGCCATTTTCTGTTGGTAGGTATAATACACATGGAAATGAAATGTAAAAAAAGAAATGTGATAATTATGTTAAAGCTGAAATAGATGCAAAATTAGCACAGTGACTACTGCACAGCAGCATGAAATGCTACCTCAAACACCTCAGCATTGCTTGGGTTAATTAACACCTGTAACAGTGTTTGTATTAGGATGTTTGTGTTACTATGGGAGCTCCTGTAGAAGAGTTTTGCTTCAGGGTAACAACTTACAAAGAATATGCCCAGAACTGTCTCTCCATTGAAATTAATTGTGAAGCTCTGTGTGCACACTCAAGCCCCCCACCCCCACCCCTGATAGTGATTAATATATGGCACGCATACACGGAGTTGCAAAATGCCACTGGATCAGGTGAATAATGATTTGACAAGCAACTCTCTTGGAGGTAGTGTTGCATGCCATTTGCTCTGCTAAATCGCTGTGTAAATACACTTAATCTGTTCCACGGTCACCTGACTTAATGAACAGCTAAGATATGCCCAATAAGATAAATAGTCACTTTTGTAGTATGGCAGTTTGGTTACTAATAAGAAAAACAGGTGCTTTGTATTTGTATAGCTCTTCACACATGCTGTCTTGATAGTCCTTAAAACAACTCTGTAAGGTACCTACCAGACAGGGTTGGCCCAAGCAGTTTTGCTGATTTTGAGGCAGGCCATGTCACCACCATTTGCTACAGCCACTGACAAGTTTCGTGAGACTTCATCCAGCCCAGAGACACAGTATCATGAGGCTTGGTCAGCTGAGTTTTCTGGGAGACCTGTATAAGGCTTCTTTCCTCTGTTGTCTGACCTTAGTCAAGACTGTACTCTTTAAGTGTGGCAGGAGGTCCACTTCAATCTGAAGAGTAATTAAGCACCTGAGGTGTTTCATGGCCCAGTCAGTAGAGTTCTGGCCTGGTCATGGAGCACCCACCAGGTAGCTGGTGGCAAAGGCTTAAGTGGTGTGGGAGCCACCCAGCCAATCCATAGTGATGTACTCTTTCTGCTGTGATTAAGTTGATGACGATGATTCATTTTGTTTCTATACTGCTTTATATTTTTAAGGAAATAAAACACCTCAAAGTGATTTACAAACCTGCATTAAAACCTCAAATAAAGCAATCCAGAATAAAACATTACTGAAGAAGGCGAAATATAATGCATACATTCAAAGCAACAGAATGAACAGGAAACTAAAATATTATCTTAAAAGATTCCAAAATAAAACATTGCAAAGGAGATCAACTACAGATTGCGCATGTACTGTTAACACATTTTTTAAATCTTAAACATTTCAAGAGAAAACATTACTAAAGGAATTCAAATGTAAAATGCACATTTAAAACAGCATAATTAGCAAGACAATACAATATTATCTTAAGCATAGGACATTGCTGCTGCTGCTGCTGCTGCTGCTGCTACCAATCCTGCCTAGGGTGGTTCACGGCAGGTGGCAGCTGCGGAAGCTCAGACTCAGTGACCTGGATCTGTACTAAGAGGCAGCCAAGATGATCTCTGGCTTCTTCAGCAGCTTCAGCTTTTGTAGTTGGGAGTCAGGGCCCCACCCTGTCAGGCCTGATGGAAAAATGCAAGGCAAGGGAGCAGGTCTTCCAGGTCTCAAAGCCAATATGAATGGCTCCGTCTGGTTTCTAATAGGGCCAGGCTGCATTCCGGATGGGATCCTGAGAATGAGAGTCTAAGGCCACCCAGTGTTCTGTTCATGGCTGACTTGATATCTATAACATTTATTCCCCTTCCCCACACAAATATCATACTCTCAACCACATGTATCACTCTTATTTCCTGTTTTTAAAAAAGATTCACGCTGAAGACTCTTGAGATCATTACGCTGCTCCAGAACGTAACATTTTATGTTGTTCTTTTTATTCTGTACAAATCAGTTGTGATTGAATTTTTACTCTTGCATGACATGCAAAATTGCATGCTGTTTTCTGATGGAGCTGAGATATGTCAAATGAAATGTATAAACCATATGAGAATTTGCAAGTTCACAAGACTTGGCTTTACATTTTTCAGGCTTTGTTTAGCTTCCCATTTGGCTGTTTTCCCTTTTTTAGGATGGAATCGGGGGAAGGGAAGCAATTTACTTCTTCATGCTAGTATATATCACATGCACTGGAAAGTATTGCATATCCTTCAGGGTCTATCAGGTCGTAGCTGTATCCTACTATTTCCTGAATCTGTATTATTTCACTTATGAAGAAAACGGAAAGACCCAAAATATGGTTTTAATTGACAACTAACAGGAGAGTTTATACTGATATGTTATTATCAGAATGTGGATACTGTATTAATAATTAAACTGATCTAGCTGACTTTGCAATTCCAGATATCTTAGGCTATGTAATGTTTCATGGCCTAGTTTAAACTGGTTCTGAAAAGACTGAAATAGGGATAGCATCAGTAGATACATTCACACAAAAACAGGTAGCTGGATGTAATGACATTTTAAACAAGTGTGTTAACTTCCTATTACTTTGAAACTACCTTGCATTTCCTTTCAGCCTCCCAATTTCTGTTGAGAAATGAGGTAACTACTTCTGGTTGGATGTAATAGCCTTTTTATCAAGTGTGCTAACTTCCTATTACCATGCCACTACATTGCACTTCTTTCTGTATCCCAGTTTCTGTTGGGAGATGAGATTCTAAGTTCACACCACACTGCTGTAATAAACACATATACAAGAAGGTGAAATATTAGAGTTCTGGCTTGAAAATATTTAAGCACAATGAGCCTTAAGGTCAATACAAGCCCTAATTAATCTAAACCCAACAACATGCAATTATGCTAATGCAATGTATTTTTAACTCTTCTGTTACTTTCCTATGGCTTTGTATTCATTTCACTACTAGTATGATAGTAACTAGGGAAATATTTTCATGGGCACCTATTGACATTACTTTTTGGCTCTTTTTCACTATGCCTATAGTGCTTAAAAGTACAAACAAGGAGTGCTTCCACATTAGCCCTTTATTCATTATTAGGTCACTCGGGGTTTTTTTTGCGAACAATCCAGGTGACATTCTCCTGAAACAGTTCATTTCCTATCCTGACCCATTCATTCATGTTCTGCTTATTCCATCCTTCGTTTTTTGTGTGTTTGTCTATTACATTTAAAATGCATTTCCGTGCCAGCGTCTTCATCGCCATCTCTCTCTACTCTTCGATGAGTAAAACTGATAAAGTGTCTGTAGGTTTGGGTACTCTTGTCAGTTATCTCACATGCCCTGTCCATCTTGTTTTTTAAAACACATTTCTATATGCACCACTGCTGCCGGGCGTAAGTGCATAGTATGGTTTTATTCATAAGCATCTTCCGCAGAGCAGCAGCAGCAGTGTTGCAGATAGTGAGAAAGTGGTGGCCAGATCTTGTGAGAGAAGGCAAAAGAGCTGCTTGATCCCTTCCCCCTCAGCCCTGCAGCACTCTCAGCTGCCTGCTGCCAGAGCAGTGCGTCTGCAAGATCCTTTTGTCTGCCTGCTTGTCACCTTATGCTGCCAAGGGGAGAGAGTCTGAGAAGGAGGGATGGGCATGGCAATAAAGCATACCTAGAGCCAGGAGGGTGGAGGAAACTTGGGCAGCTGCTGTTGTGGGAGTGGCAACTCAGCAGGCAAGTGTGTCCAGAACAGGAATGGTACTTCCTTCTATAGACGCTGGCCATTTTGCTCAGTTGCATTACAGGGGAGCTCTTTCCCTCCTGCTGCATCTCAGAAAATCAACCCACCCCCCCTCTGACATCCTTCTAGTGCCCCCACCCATTTAGATGGTCCCCCTCACTTGAATCCGGCCCTCATTTCCGGCTTATTTCCATCTTCCAGATGATGAGAAAGTTCTAGCACAGGGCTAGCACTTAATACTGGTGCTGGATGAGACTCTTGAGAGTCCCATGGACTGCAAGAAGATCAAACCTATTCATTCTTAAGGAAATCAGCCCTGAGCGCTCACTGGAAGGACAGATCCTGAAGCTGAGGCTCCAATACTTTGGCCACCTCACGAGAAGAGAAGGCTCCCTGGAAAGACCTTGATGTTGGGAAAGATTGAGGGCACAAGCAGAAGGGGACAACAGAGGACGAGATGGTTGGATAGTGTTCTCGAAGCTATCAGCATGAGTTTGACCAAACTGCGGGAGGCAGTGGAAGACAGGAGTGCGTGGCGTGCTCTGGTCCATGGGGTCACGAAGAGTCGGACACGACTAAACAACAACACCAACAAGCACTTAATACACAGCATTAACAAAAGCTTTGGCATCCCCGCCCCCCAGAAGCACCCTGTTTGATATTAGACTACATTGTGCCTATGCACAATGGCTAATCAGAGTTATGCAAGACTAGTCTTCCAACTGACATGTACATATTGGAACAGAGGTCTGCATGCATGAATTGGAGGCTAACACATATTTGGTTATAAAATCTAACATCAGGGCAAGGCAGTATAAATTGCATGGATTGAGACCACAGGAACTTGGGTCTACACATGTAAGTCTCTGTTAAAACATGACATCTACCACACAATTTGCTCTGGGGGTTGCAGAATGCGGGTAAGCTCGTTAGATCCTGATCTCTTACTACATGTTGGCACTACGAGAGGCTATGCTAAACACTATGTTGTTTAGATTTCATTATCACCTAATGTTCATAAATGTATGTCAAGTATATTAGGTGCTATATGCAGATAAAAGTAAATGAGCATGTGCCCTTAGACTCACAAAACCTGCCCATTATTCAATACTCAAGATGCTCCCCTCCCTAAGTACAGTTGAAATTGCCAGATCTTATGCATGCAGATCTCCTGTATTTGCTCTCCTGTTCACTCATGAAGCGGAATAAGTAAGCCTTATCCCTAATGAACTATATGACACCTGGAAAAACAGTGGAGGTTACTTTGAAGATTGGAGCTAAAGTGCCTTTCTGTCTGCTTATGGGTTTTTTTTCTTCAGAGGCAACATGTTCTCTTTCATGTTTTGTAGTAAACTAAATGGTTCTTGTTTGTGGCCATATCTGAATATAATGGTCTGCTACCAGAGGAGATACATGGGAAACAGCTGTACTTGTCACTTTAAATGTCATGAAATATAAGCACAGGAAGAACTAGTTCTCTGTCCATTTTTCTTGATCTGGACAAATGGTTCCTAAAACCACATTTTCAGTGTTTTGTTTTTTAACAAACAATGGCTTGACAAGATGACAGAGGTTTTGTTGAGCTCAATTTTGATGTTAACACAGTTCCGCTTTTCTCTGATGAGCACCTTTATTGGGGTGGGATGGGGGAGTATTAGCCAGAGCATGAGATGCTGGCCAGCAAGGTGTCACTGGTGTTTGTGACTTTTTCCAGTGCTGATTTGGTACTTATCAAGAGTTGAGGTTGTGCAGTGCAGTGCATGTTATGGTTATGTAGTTGAGAGTGGATGGATGGATGGAAATAGTTTCATATTTTCCAGGGTGAAAGCCTGCCGTGGTATAGAATTCAGCCCCTCTCAAGTGAGAGAAGGGAAGGAGAGTATTTGATGGTACCGGGGATGTGGGACACGAGGCCAGTGCTACTTTAGAGTTTGGGAGAGTAACGTATATGCTTGGCAGCAATCCTTTTTTTTTTTAAATCATATTTATTAAAGTTTCCAAAAATATAAAAATACAAAGAAAAAAAAGAAAAAGAAAAAAAGATATTTAAAAACCTTACTTTCATTGCCTACTTTCTGGGACTCCCCCCCTCCCCCGACTGTATTCCCTTTCCTTAATTTAGTTCTACAAGCTCTCACTCCCAATTTGAAGCTTAATTTGTTTAACCCACTATCCAAATTGAATTGTACAAATCTTACCACCGTCCCACATCATTAACAAGAAAAGAAAAAGATTTTCCCCAAGATCCACCCCAGTTCCTTCCACGAATTCCCTTTTTTAAACACGTCCAATCAAAATAAAATGACATGCGTAAGTTATGTAAAAAAATAAACACTAACAGATCTAGAAAAATTCAAAAGATGGTTACACAGCCTTTGGATTTCAAATCTCCCCCCCCCCTTCCCCGGTTTGAATTCCCCATATCCATCAGTCTGTGCATTATCAGCTTGGAAGTCTCAATTCATGACCAAATTTCTCCCCGATTCCATCTTGCCGGTTTTCTTTTAATTTATTAATAATATGTAACTTCAAGTGTCCAATCTAACAAAGGCCTTTAATTTCCTTGATCTTTACCACTCCTCCCGTTGTTCTTTCCGTGTCGTAATCAGTCCTTTGTTCTTCTTTTCCTCACTTTCTCAGGTTTCTTGTCCTGTTCAGCTGCTAAAACTTTCTAATTCAGAAATCTGATATCTCTGCAGAGGTTTGTTATTCAGGAACAAAAACTTACGTCCAGTCCCTTCCTTTCTTCAATAGAAAATTCTATTGTCTCCTTTAATGTAAATACCTCTGTAGACAAAATACTATTTCAGTTTTGCAGCTTTCCCAAAAGATAACAAGTCCTGTGCGAATCCCAGAGTATTTTTCCACTTACGACCGTTCTTGTAATATCCCGAAACCCCTCTAGGGGGATTGTAATAACTTTGCGTCCTCTAATCCAAAATTCAAATTGTTGCTTATTTTCCAACAATTTATATCCATATTATAGCAAATTGTAGCAAAATTAACCGGCAAAGTCCTCATAACAAAGTCCTCTTTATATTCTCCAACTTTGACAGCCACTTTGACAGCTGTCAAAGTCTCCGTCTCTCTTCACCAGGCTCCACGAATCGCCCCGGTTCCCAGGGGGTTGCATTTTCTTCTCACCCTCCACTCTTCTCCTCCAGCACAGTTCTTATAATTTCCCATCGTGAAATTAATGGTTTTTATCAAGAATATACTTCCCTTTGGACCTTGGTTGCCCAGTCCTTGTTTTGGAATGCTTACAGTAGGGGGATTGACTTCCTTTTAAATCGCCCCGCTCGTGCCAAATCCGAAATTTTGAACCCGGTTTCCCAATTACTCACGGGTTGTTGTTAATAGTCCAAATTTTCAATGGAAGAAGTCAGCGCTCTCCGTCGAATGGCATGCGGCTGCGCTCGGCAGGGAAAGCAGAAGACTCAAAGCACCACGCCGCTCCCCGGCACCCGATCCGAAGCCTTTAAAAAGGCTCCTTCACGAGTCGGGAGGGCGCTAATGGTGCAAGCCGAGTCACCCATGTCCACGGACTCCGTGCCCGTGGTTTTTAAGGGTCCCCGCGTCGCCGGCGCGGTAGGACCCAGCCCCTGCCGAGCAGACTCCCTCCGGAGCTCGGAGGGAGTCCGCCATTTGGCGATGGCGCCAACCCGGAAGCCCCTGCTTGGCAGCAATCCTTGACTGTGGGTTGTCATATGGTTTAGAGCAGACATGTCCAAAATCCATTTCAGGGGCCTAATCTGGCCTGCCGGTTGGTTTAATCCGGCCCCTGTGGCAGTTTATTTCCTGGGGTAAAATCCCCCCCAAAAAACACAACAACAAAAAGGTCAACAACTTCAATCCTAAAAAAAAGGTCAACAACTTTGGTTGGACCTTTGGTCGGCCCTCACAGCCCTTCACTTCATCAAATCTGGCTCTCTGGTTTAGAGAGTGGTGTAGATCCATGTGGTTGGTTGATGGAGATGTTTGAGGTCTTGAATGATTATACTAGTTGTGTGGAATGGAGCATGAATGAGATGGGTCAAGTTGGTTATATGAATGAGTGAATGAATGATGTGTGTTGTTTTGAAGGTAGTTTCACATTATACTGCCTTGTACTGCTCTTAGACTTTTATCAATATTGTTTTTAGGTAATTTGATATTGTTTATGTATTCATGTTTTTATGGTACTTATGTGGTTTTGATGGTACTTGCTGTGTTTAGATGTATATTTATGTATTTTAATCCAGTGTAAACCATTTCAAGATATTCAGATAGTAAGTGGTCTGTAAATGGAACCAATCCATAAATAAATAAAACAAAGTCAGGGTCGTGTAGTGGTTAAAGTGATGGCCTAAGACTTGAGAGACTCTCCACTCTGCCATGAAGCTCACTAGGTGACCTTGGGCCAGCCAGTGTCAATCAGTCTAACCCACCTCACAGGGCTGTTGTGAGGAAAAGCTAGGGAGAGGGAGAACCATGTGTATCACCTTGACCTCCTTGGATAAGAAGTGGAGAAGAAATGCATAAACAAACACGCTAACTAACTAACTATGAAGTCATGTTTCCATGCAGTGTTGCTGTTTGGCATCTATTGAAATCAATGTAGCTGCAGGCTTGTGTGTATGGAATAGGCCTTGTGTTCATGGGAGTGAACTGGGAAAAATCACAAACCTAGGCATGCAATAACATGTGCTTTTCTTTGGCATTGCGCCTATGATGATTAAAACTAGGTTCAAGCTCCTGTGTAAGTTTTTGGGTAAACTCTGTGCTTTTTTAAAGTGCGTTTTTTTAAAAACCTGAAATGTAAAACCTCTGAGAACTTGGCAAGAAAGATTTCCCCACTGCAGATAAAAATAAGCAAACAAATATGTGTATTGCTGCTTGGTTTTTTTAAAAAAAGATTTTATTTATCAACATTTTAGAAAGCAAAGAACCTGTTAGACCATAAAATAGTTTGGGGGAGCATATGTAATTGCTTCATGTATATATTTGTGAGAATCTTATTTTAGAAACTAGTGCAACCCTATGCATGTTTACTCTGAAGTAAGTACCATATACAGTAGGGCTTACCCCAGGGAAGTGTCCATAGGATCACAGATTTCGGCTCTTTTACAATAATTCATATTAGGAATAAAAGCTTTGAGCAACAAAAGAGGGAGGAACACAAACTTGCAGGTGGTCTGGAAAGGTGTGCCAAGTTGGCCGGGTAGAAAGTCAAGGGAGCATATTGAATTATGTGAGGCTCTGAAGCTCCACTGCTGATTTTAATTATAAGGCTTTTAAATTACCATATTTTTCGCACCATAGGACACACCGGACAATAGGACGCACTTTGTTTTAGAGGGGGGAGAACAAGAAAAAAAATTTCCCCCCTCTCTGCCCAGCGCCCCTTCAGTGAAGCAGCAGGAGGCGCTGCACAGAGAGGGGGAGAATTTTCCCGCTCTAAAACAAGGTGCCGTTTAAGGTGCGTTCAGGCGGCTACCTTGGAAGCCTGGAGAGCACGAGGGGTCGGTGTGCACTGACCCCTCTCGCTCTCCAGGCTTCAGGTTCCGTTTGACCTGCTCTTTGGGGCTGGCGGGGAAGCCCACCACCAGCCCCAAAGAGCAGGTCAGGGAGCAGCGGAAAGGCGCAGCGGAGAGGCTCCTGCCATAGCCGCGCGTCACCTCTCCAGCCGGGAGAGGGTCGCAGGGCTATGGCTTCTTTAGCCCCGCGCGCGCTCTCCCGGCTGGGGAGGTGACGCGCGGCTATAGAGGCTCCTGCCATAGCCGCGCGTCACCTCTCCAGCTGGGAGAGGGTCGCGGGGCTATGGCATCTTAACCCCGCGCGTGCTCTCCCGGCTGCAGAGGTGACGCGGGGCTGTAGAGGCTCCTGCCATAGCCGCGCGTCACCTCTCCAGCCGGGAGAGGGTCGCGGGGCTATGGCATCTTCGCTCCATAGGACGCACACACATTTCCCCTTCATTTTTGAAGGGGAAAAAGTGCGTCCTATAGAGCGAAAAATACGGTAAGTCTTAACGTGCCAATTGATAAACTTTATGCTCTGGTTTCTCCTCAGATAGTACAAATATATTTATAACTATTTTTCCATGAGTAAAATCCTGGTTCGTTGCTGACGTGTTTTGCTTTGTGAGCTTTAATTCTCTGGGTTTCTCCCTACCATTGCACCAAGGGAGGAGCAAAGTGGAAGCAAATACGTTGTGTACTAGCATGATGCTTTTTCACACTGTGGGTTAAGTGAGCCAAACTTATTGTTATGTGCGGACCTGACCTTTATCAGAGTTCATTTCTTGTTAACCCGAGAGTGTCTATAAGTGTCCTCTTGATTTTGAACAATGCCCACGATGGTTATCCACAGTTGTCATGAGGCTATTTATGAACCAGGGGAGTTGTGTTTGAGGACTGTTGATGTGGGATCTCTTCCACATCATTTATTTATTTCTGACTATTCTCTGCGGAAGGTGGGGGTTGTGCTGCTTTCTGTTCAGAATACATATTTGGATCTATCCCTTATAAAAATTTGAATACTAAATGGCAACGGGAGGATAATACAACTTTCAGAATCTGATGTAATTTTGTACAAATTGTACAAATGTTAAGCTGTTATGAGGAGTATATCAAGTTTATGGTATTTTATTGCTTATAATTGGATTTCTCCCTTTCCCCTGTCCCAGTTGCTTATGTTGTCCCTTATTAATTTGATTTGGTTGTTACAGCCTTTTGCCTAAGTATATTAGCCCTCTTCAGACATTCAGCCAAAGACATGCCATAAATGGAATAGAGGCAAGTGATGTACGCACCATCTCAGCCCACTTCATCTGTAGGAAGGTCAGGATGAAGCAGGCAGGGACATTGGGACTGAGGGCAGTGCACCTGTACACACTAATGCTCTCACACCTTCAGCTGAATGCCTGAATGGGACTGTTGTCAGGCCTGTATTCCAGGTTTGTGCTTGCAGGTTTCTAGGAATAATTAATTGTGCATGTGTATTCTTAATACAGCGGTAGCTCTGGATGCGAATGGGATCCATTCCGGAGCCCCATTCACATCCTGAGTAGAATGCAACCCGCGCGTGCGCAGGTCGCGATTCACTGCTTCTGTGCATGCGCGTGACGTCATTTTGCGTGTCTGTGCATGTGCTAGTGGCGAAACCCGGAAGTAATGCATTCCGTTACTTCCGGGTCGCCGCAGAGCATAACCTGAAAACACTCAACCTGAAGCATATTTAACCTGAGGTATGACTGTATTTTAGAGTGAAGTTGCGTAAATCAGTAACAGATTTTGATAGAGTTAATTTTGAATTGTGGCGTGGCAGTTATGGTCTTGATTTTCCTTGTATTCTTAAAGGCAAATCGAGCGATGCCAGTACAGTCTACATATAATCTGAGATCTTGTGAAAAGGGATATGGTTTTATAATTACTGTTCTCTTCTTTTTCAGCTTCTCTGCGAAAATGTCAAATGGGAGGGTCCTTCATTTTCACCCTTCAATTCTCCATTTTGGAATGCAGTGAGTATTTTGCATACTTTTATTCTGTATCCCAGGAAATTCTTTCCCCAGAAGAGTCTTTAATTCCCTTCCATTTTGCATTGCATACAATGTTTCCACCCTCCTTTTCTGTGTCCGGTTCCTTGGCAGCTTAGAGTACATAGTTCTTACTCAAGCAGGATTGCAACACACAACTAATAATAATAACACCACCTCCCCTTCACCAGTGGGCCCCAGGGCTGGTTGTTGCAATATAAAATTCTGAATTAAAAACAGTTAAAACAAGTTACAGCCACAGGAGTAGGATGGGTCTTGAAAACAACCATCTCGGGTGTCAAAGGGCAAGGTGTCTTCAGCATTTGCTGAAAGATGAAGGTGGTAGACATGTCTCTGTGGGGGGAATTTCACAACACCCTTTTCTGGGGGGGCCTTCCTTGTACTTCTGAGGAGGGCAGAACCAGCAAGAGGGGCCCACCTTCTGATCTTAACACCCAGAGAAGGTCTGTAGAGAAGGAGGCAGTCTCTCAGATTTTGGGGGCTAAAGTCCTATAGGGCTTTACACACTAAACACCTTGAATTGAGCCTGGAAATGAACTGACAGCAAACATAGCAGTTTTAGAACAACCGTAAGAGTTCTAAAGGCAGCCCTAGTCAGCAATCTGACCACTGCATTTTGAACCACTGCATTCAGAGTTCTCTTCAAGAGCAGTCCTATGTAGGGCACGTTGCAGTAATCCAATCTGGAAGTTACCAGAACATGGAGTACCATAGCCAAGTTATCTCTGTCTAAAAGGGGCTGTAGCTGGTGAACCAGTTGGAATTAGAAATAGGCACTCCTAGCCATCAAGGCATCCTGGGCCTCAAGTGACAATGTTGGACCCAGGAGTACCTGCAAGCTATAACCATGTTCTGCTGGTTCTCATGAAAAGGGAACTCTGGATGAGGAGGAGGTGGCTTTTGACTTGGATTTGTTCATGTCATGCCAAACCACATTGTGTCTGTATCCCAAAGTTGGTTTAAATTCCAATGGGCCCAAGTTGTGGGGGTTTTTCTGAACACTTTATGTTTGCATGTGGTGTGGAAAACATGACTGCATTCTTTCCATTGCCAATAATACTTCCCTTTCTTCTTTCCCTTAGGTTGCTGGGACTGCCTAAAGCTAAAATGCTATGTGCTTACAATCCTAGTAAGGATAAAGATGTTATAGTGAATTCAATGTTTACAGCTACTAGGCATTTTCATGTGTCTCCTGTTCATAGCAGGGTGAGTGCTGATGTACTTTTGGAAACTATGCTAGGGCAGAGTGCCAGAGTTTCATGCTTTCCTTGGCCCTAAAGCGTTAGCTAACTGGTCTTTCTTTCCTACTTTCCCAGCCATCAGCTTGGTCTTCCCATTTATTTCTATTAGGGCTGAGCTGAACATTTTCCCATACATTTTCGGTGCCAAAAAAAAAAAGCCTTCTATGTCCCTCAGAAGTATCTAATTTTCACTGTTGCTCGTTGCTTTTTCAGCCTCTGTTGCTTGTGGCTTCACCTGCATTTGGATTCCAATACACTTAAAACTCAATACAACCTTGTCAGTTGTCTTCTCTCCTCCAGCTCAATCATTCTCCGCCCTCCAAATGACTCTTACTCCCTCAGAAGACTCTGCCCTTTCCCCCTTGTTACTCTCCTCTGCTATAAGAAGCTTCTTGTTTTTAATGAACTAGCTTTTATTTTATTTTCTAACAGTGGGTTATTTTTTTTTACACATGTAGCTTGTTTAAACTATGATTTGTTGAAACGAGCCAAGGTCAAACTGTGGTTGTTTCAACAAACAATCGTTTAAACTTATGAGAGTTCCCAATTTGGATGTAATGATATGCTCCTTTAAAGTTTATGTTTCCAATTTCCTCCTTGTGCTCTGGAGCCAGAGGAGAGGGCTGAGGGGAAGCATGCAAACCCAAGCTCATTCATATCATAGCTGTCAACCTTCCCATTTTTTTTGCGGGAAATTCCCTTATTCCAGCGCCGTTTCCCACTGCTATCCCGGATTGTTAGATATCCCATAGACTGTCCCCAGGACAGGTGAGGCTGCTGATCCCTTATTTTCAAATCTGAAAGTTGACAGCTATGATTCATATCATGCTAAACCATGATTGGGTTGGGTCCAGACTGTATCTCTGTAAGTAAAGTGACTTGCAATCCTGGTTTAAGTTAAATAGTGGTGGCTCTATAAGTTTGGATGCATTGGCAAGCTACTATGGTTTGCTGCTAACCATGATTGAAAGCTTCTCATTGTGGCGTGTAGGAAAAGGGAAGAGGGGGCATATGAGCCTGAGGTTCCTGGTTGTTACTGATTATAATGCTAAGTCATGTTTTAGTGCTGCATTCGAAGCCAGCCTCTGTCTTAGCATGCAGTCTCTCGATAGCTGCCCCTCCTTGTTTCTTATTGCTCTTCAGACTACATATAGGAAGGTGAAGGGGAGCATGGCAGCTATGGACCACTGTCAATATATTTAGTCTAGTGGGGCAAGGGGTGGGTGGTGACCCACTTTTTAAAATTTACAAGTCTGTAATAAAATTAATGCAATTAATTCTATTGAACACCAGATACTTTTATTTTATCTGTAGGTGATTCCAGCAATGGGAAAAAATTGTTTCAGAGTACTGTTTCTTCCATTAGAAGAAGGCAGTTTTGAAAGTACATTATTTATAAATACCTCATCTCATGGAATATTTTCATATCAGGTAATCTTTTGTTCATCAGCTTGAGATTTAGAAGGTAATTTGTTTTTCAAATGACATAATAGTGGGCAAAACCAGGAAACATTGCCAGCAGTTCTTGGTCATGAATAAATAATACTTGCAGAGAACATTATGATTTCCAAGGGACTGAAGCTTTAAGGGGTCTGTTCCTCTGGTCCCAAATGGCTTTAAAATTTTCTACATTTGTGTTGGAGAAGAAACAAGCGGGCGACTTTCCCCTCTGGTAGTTGAAGACAACCATCCTGTAGGTACATTTTCAAGTAAGCCTTTCTAACCAGGAAAAAAAATAAGATTTGTATTCCATGTTAAGCATTACAAATAATTAAATACAGTAGTTCTAAAAGTATATGTAGCCCTGCTTGGCCACGATTTATTTGCTCCTACACAAAAAAGTGTAGAGACATCCAGAAAATCCTTGTTATACAGATTATACAAGGAATTATGCCTCAGTTTTGTAACTGAAGGTCTTCCTATGCTGTACCTCAGTAGGTTGGAGAACTAAGGGAATGCTGCCATTGTCTATGCGGTGACATCTGGATCTTATAGCACATATCGCTTGCTGGAGCCAGGATGACTGCAGTGTACTACACAAAGCCTTCCTGCTCCTTCCAAACCTTGGATGTGGCATGATGAGTTAAAGACTCCTCAGTTGAAGCAGAGGCAGGGTGTCTGTGCCTTTGCTCATTGTCCCTGTGCAGTAAGGGCTGCATTGTATTTGAATGGCAGTTGTTGAGCAGCACAAGCAGGAAACTGCTATTGCACATGTGTCATTTCTTGCACGTTTCCCATATATATTTTATTGACCATGCAAGAGGACATAATGTGACTAGATGGACCTTTGGCTTGAACCAGCAGGGCTCTTGGCATTCACTATGATCTCAAACTTTGCATGCAAAATTTGGTGTTGTACACCAGTTTCCATTGTGCATGTGTATATAAGACAGTTTGGGATCTTCGTTCATTATCTACTTACTAAATTTGTATCCCGCCCTATGCCCGCAGGTCTCGGGGCGGTTGCAACATAAAATCACAATATAAAAACATAAAATGCATAATAAAAATAAAACCAACCCAATAAATACACACACCCATAAATACACACACCCTTCAGTTGCATTCACTTCAAAGGGACTAGCAGAAGAGAATTTTCTCAGTGATCTGGATTGTGTCACAGGTTTGCATACACTCTACCTCTTGGATCAATAACACTTCATTGATAAACTGAAGAGATCTGTAAGGAGTTCTAAAAAAACAGTTTACTGTGGAATTTGTGAATGAAAATTTTAAAATAACAGAAACAAAAGGTCAGTAACATTTAACTGGGCTTTAAAAAGAAGAAATAAATAATATTTACTTGTGTAAATTAATAATATAATATAATATACTTTAAAAACTTGGGCCTTCATCATAAAAGTTTCTAAACAATTACATATCTAGTACAAAAGTTTACTTCATCTTTTCCTTATGTAAAACTATGTGCTAAATGAAGTGCTTCAGATGTTTGAAGTATTAGAAAACTGCAGCTGATACTCAGTTGCTCTTGTGACACCTGGTGTAGTTATTAATTTGAATTGTTCAGGCAGCAATACCCAAGACCCCCTTCTGTTTATAGCCCCCTTGTCTGTTTATAGCACCCATCTCATGAATAAGTGCTAGAAATACTTTCCCACAGCCTCACCCAACACTTGTGAATAAACATGCACTGAAAGTCATGCAAATAATGCTGGAAGAGGTTCCTTCACATCTGTCTGCTGTTCCCCTGTGATCTTGCACCCACCTGCCCACCCACACTGCATCTGCTATGCCCATTTTCCTTTTTTGCGTGTACTAAGGCAAATGAATGAGTTCTAGGCTTCAGAGATTGTACAGTTGTAAAAATAAATAAATTGCCATGTTAATTTTTGTGAAATGGTGATCTCTCTTGCATTGTGTCTGAGGTGGCAAAGCCTCTGATTCTTCTTGACTAAGTAACTGTGGCTACCCTGGAATGTTCATTTACTCTAGTAAATTTCCTGCCACTGGTGCCTTTGCTCCTCTTGATTCTCTTCAGTTGCCTTAGGAACCAAACAGTCCAGCTTCTGTGAGGGAAGGGGAAATTGTCCATTTGGTTTGGATTATTGCCGCAGAGAGAGAGATATATACATTTTTTTTGTTGCTTTCTCCAAGTCCTATATAGTTCATAAGAGCTCAGGAGAGGGGATTTTTGTGTAACACTTGTCAGAAAAGTGGACTTATGGAACCACAATCATTAATTTAAAAGTCTGTTCTGTCTTTGATCTCCTTGCTTCAGTTTCATAACTTGCACTGCGGAACCACTTCAGCAAGAATTACTAGGAGATTATCTTCTTCCCTCTTCCTTAGAAATCTCATATAGAAAGCCACTGCCCAAGTAAAATACTATATAACCATCTAAATAGCAGAAACAAATGTTAGTACACTTGTCATTCAGTTTCCCCTCAGCAGCCTATTTGGAGACTTCTGTCACATTATTCATTGTGAAAGTCCTATTCACATTTTAATGCATCTTTTGCTATTTGATGCATAAAATGCCTAGATTTGTTCTTACTCTTTTTATGTTTATCAGACCTGGCCCAGGTAGATGAAAAGTGGTACTTTTAGGAATGGCATATAAAATTGTCTAAAATGGTTCAATATGGTAGCTGTGGTCTGGACATTTTTTTTTAGTTCATGCTCAAACAGAAATCGCCTTCACTCTGAATTGACATTGTGATGTCACCACATGCCATATCTTACTGACCACATGGTATTAATATAATCACATTGACTGTCATCCCCAATTGCCTGGAATCACCTAGTGAAGCAGAACCTTTCCCCCAATTTTTAAAATATTGCTGAAGAAGCAATAAACAGGGGGAAAATGTTGTAAACCATTGTGCGGGGAGGCCTTGCACTCTGAAAATGTTTTTATATAAGAACATTTGGTGCAGCTGTGTTACTGAATAATTTCAATATATTCTGCTATTTTAGCACGTAACATGCTAAAGCATGTTATTTTTGTTTGAAAATAGTGAATGTAATGTACTGTTTTACACCAGGTCTTTGGAACAGGAACTTCAAGGACCATTTCAGAAGACTCTAGAAAGCAACTAGCAAATACTTATTTACTGCTTCCACATATCAACAGTATCCAGATCTCACAGACACTGGTATAGTAACTTTTTAAAAAAATAAATAAATTATATTTTAGGGACCATGTAAGGTTGCTTTGTTTTTCAAAATGAACTGTACCTCAGCTTTCTGTTTAATGTTAATGGAAATGATACCATGGGGTTTTAAGGGCTATTGTTGTTTATTCTTGGCAGAATATTGTAGTGGGGAGGGAGATAGTAGTATTGTTGACAGTATCTCGCTCTGCAACAGTACAAATGTAGGAATAATCATTCCTGTGAGTTGCACAATTGACAACTGACCACTGAAACCCCAGGTACTATGCACACATGTCCTTGTTTCATTTCCTGCGTTGCCCTTTGCTGCTCTCCAGTACAGTTGTACCTCTAGTTGCGGACACGATCCGTTCGCACCTCGAAAAGTCTGCCACTAGAGCTGCGCTTCTGCGCAAGCGTGGAGCATTATAGAGCGCTTCTGCGCATGTGCGAAGCATGCAGAACGCTTCTGCACATGCACGCGGGGCGAAACCCGGACGTATACACTTCTGGGTTTGCTGCGTTTGCAACCCGAAAATCTGCAACATGAAGCAAACACAACAAGAGGTATGACTGTACACTAGAAGTAGCTGCTCTTTGGAATAACAATATTTCTTACTTCTCATTGCTGATTATATATAGATTTGTACGCAAATAAAAACCGCGCGCCAGGCAATATGTATGGAAGTTACCTTCATTCTTTGTGCCCTATAACACACTCTAACCCCCAAAATCTGTCCCACCAGCCCCAAAAGGTCGGTAAACCCTGATGTGGACCAAACAGACAGGCTGTGTAGAGCAGAAGAGGCCAGGATTTGAATAAGCTCCTTTGTGTATTCCAAATCTATGGCCACACACACAATGTCTTGTGATAAACCCTTGAGAATAGAGTATTTAATTTCAGCATCTTGGTTTTCTCTCCGGATCAATCTCTACCTGCTCCCCACCCCACCAGCCCAAGAAAAAAGAAACAGACAGAGAGAAAGCAACACATTCTCTCCACTTCCTCTTCAAGGCTCAGATCAGCAGCTCGCGTAGCAGTCTGAGCTTTAAAAAGCACCTAGAGGTGAAAGAGGAAGTGGGGAAAGGGCATCAGATAAACCTGTTTCCTCCCCTAGTTCTGTGTACTTCTCAAGGGGAATAGGTAACCGCCCTCAACTACCTCATGACTAGTGGGGGGTGGACTCGAGGTCTTGCAGGCACCAGGACAAATCCTGCGCAGTGCCATTGTGTCCAGAGTTGTCACACTGGAAACTGCAGGTTCCAGTACTATTTCCAGCATTTCTGGGCAGGACCTGGCATTCAAAATTAGTGTGTTTTTTTAAGAGTGTTGCTCAGGGTCTCTTTCCTAACTTTGCCACAGCAAATAAATTTTAAAATTTAAAGAATTGTCCAGTAGCACCTTAGAGACCAGCTAAGTTTGTTCTGGGCATAAGCTTTCATGTACATGCATACTTCTTCAGATACCATGCACACAAAAGCTTATACCCAGAACAAACTTAGCTGGTCTCGTAAGGTGCTACTGGATATTTTTAAATTTTATTTATTTATTTTGACTGTGTCAGACCAACACAGCTACCTACCTGAATCCTTTGCCACAGTAAGTTTCTTTCGTATTGCGACCCAGCTCCTCATTTGTACATTAAAAAAAAATAAAAATCTGGTGCTAAAATATTGTTGTTAGAATCTTCGAAGTCAAATAATCTTGAAATCTACAGCTAAAGATTAGGCTAGTTTTTCTCTAATGGTTGCTAGGCCAGTGCCAGCTGGGATGTCATCTTGCTGAGTTTATACTTGAAAACTTGACTGGAAGCATTACATGCATTTTATAAAGGGAGAAGCGACGTGAGCGCAAAAACAAACATGCCTACCGTTAGTGAAATGTGTAACAATGCTTGTGGGTCTTCCTTGTTGGGAAACATCTGTGTAATTGTTCTGCTGCTTGCGTCTGCTTTGCACAAAGTTTTGTTTGCAAGTATTAAAAACACACACAGAGGAAAGGATGGATTTGTATTTATTTATCCCTTAAAGTTACTTTAAATGCTTTATGAAATTATTGCAAACTCGATCACTGGCTCTGCATGCTGTGGCAGAAGCAAGGGGAACAGGTTTGCTATATTAAATGTGGCAACAGAAGTGTACTGGCTTTAGCGTTAATAACACTAAGGCAGTTTATTCTGTAACATAACAGCTACATAGAAGATACTCTGTTCTTTGAGAGTTGGCACCGAAGATGTTCTGCAATTCTTATTGCATGGATAAGTGGCTGTTCATTGTGAAGGTTTATGTGAAGGTTTCTGATGGTTCTCATGTGTAACTGACAAAACCAATTATTGTTACCATCTTTTGACCTTGAATTGCTGCAAAATATGGTGGTTTTAGGAAAAGAAATTGAGATTCACGTTTGAAAAAAAGAACCAGCAAATAATTAAACAGTTAAATAATGGTATGATTAGATGTGCTATAGCTCCCCCTCATGGGTATTTGAAAGGATTCTTAACCAGAAAATAAATTGATATAATCGAAAGCTGACTTTGGCAATGGTACTGTTTATTAGTGAATTTAATTTCAAAATACCTGATTTATATAGGGTATACAAGCTCTAAGTATTCTTGAGGACCAAATTTAGGACCATAAGTTGCCATATTTGTTTGAAAATAGACCCATTTTTTGGCATATGGTTGAATTTGCTAAAATATTTTAGGTATGTAGCAATGTAATCGACCACGTAAAACACAGAAGGCAACTATAAAAAGTTGTCAGAATTATATAATTGTCAAGGTTGCTGATAATATCACATTTATTATAACACTTTTATCTAAGGAGCGCAAGATGGCATACATTGCTTTCCCCCTCCCATCCTCACAATAACCCTAGCAGACGGACAGACACTGGTTCAAAATTACCAGTGAGCGTCACGGGCAAGTGAGGATCTGAAACCTGGTCCTAGTCTAACATTCTAAGCACTCCATCACATGTCTACACACCATACTGGTTTGACCTTCTTTGACTCTGGTTTTTTGTTTGTTTTTCCAGGCAGAAACTAGGAATGTCAGTCACTTAAAAGTTCGTCTTGAATGCCAATTACTTAACAAATTGTATCAGCATTTTAAGGTACGGTGTATACTTTTCTTCCTAAATCAGAGACTACACCAGCCACACACAGCTAAGCTAGTTGAGCTGGACTCAGCTGTGGTCTGGAAGTAGCCTTTACTTAATGTTTTGGGGGCATCAACGTATATGAACAAGGGTGAATCCTTAAGGCTAATTCAGGATATTTTAGCTTCTGTGACAACTTTAGGTCTATTCCATGGAACAGCTAACCTGAAGTATAGATGCTTTGGTTGAGATTCCTGCAGAGCAAGGAGTTGGACTAGATGACCCTCGGGGGTCTCTTTCAAGTCTACTGTTCTGTGATTCTATGTGACATTGCACTGGGAAGTAGGTGCTTAAGTGATATTGTATGCTGAGATTACTCTGTAGTTGGACCATTACCTCCTCAAAGCACTGATCCCTTTCATCCTGTGTATGCTGGCATAATGAGCAAGTTACGTTGGTACATTCTATGTAGTGCATTGAATTCTTTGGGAATTTCCCCCATTGATCTTGCCAACTGTGATCTGACTGGCATCATTCACTTTTTGAATTGCAGCCTGTCTTTGGCCGTTAAGAATGTCTTATGCCAAATCTGATGCTGACCGTGCAAAAAGCCATAACATCATTCTGAGGACTATGTCTTAGCTGTGCTATTTTTATGGCTGCATGCCATCAAGTAGATCCAATCTAGATGGTGAATGGCTCAACAAATCCTTGCAGTTCCAACCTGAATATTGTTGTCTTTATAAGGAAGACAACAATATTCAGGTTGGAACTGCATGGATTCATTGAGCCATTCACCATCTAGATTGGATATTTCTTATTCCCAAATATTTTCTCTACGGGAAATTACCAACTACCATATTGACCTAGGCTCTATCTGCTCACAGTAACTTTAATTCAGTGTATCTGTTTTGTTCCAGCATGACTGCTTCCTTTTTAGATTCTGCCTCTTTACCTCTATCACACACAACTTAGAAAATCACTCTGCCTATTTTAGAACATAAATTCTGTGATTTCCTGTTTGCTTACATCGGATATATACATACAATCTATCATATATTTAAAGAGGTCCAGTATAAGACAGACTGTCATCAGTGTGGCCTGAAGATTAGCTCAAAGTTTCTTGTCACCACTTCCCACATTTTACCATTCATAGGAGCCAACTCCTAGGGGCCAAGTGGTTTTCGCCCCCCGTAAAATAATGGAGGGGGCTACCCCCCTCAAGTTGATGGGCACTACCATTCAAATGGTGTGCATGCACCACATCATGTGATTGATTGTGTAGGGTGGGATTTACCTGCCCCCCAATATTTTATTCAAGTTGGCACCCCTGTTACCATTCCATGTCAAGAAGTGCCTAACAGTTAAAGTACAAACTCTTAACTAGAATATATTTTTGTGGATTAAGAAGTGGAGGTCTGCCTTGTCCACTGTCCATATATGACTGTAGATTTACGGTAATTCTCTTTTGAAGGTGCTAAACTAACTTTTAGAAGAAAGATATAATGGTCACGTTAGAAAACTGTGTGTACATGTCTATTTACACTTATGTACCAACCCATCACTTGTGTCTCTTAGCTCGCATAGCCAGGGACCTGATGCAGAATGTGCAGAGGAACAGCACTTATCTAAAGTGGCAGAGTAGTATAACATGAGGTACCGCTGCTGTGCATTGGAAGGTAGAACGTCATTTCCGTGCACTGCTACTGGTGCTCGCAGCGAGAAGCGGCTCCTGAGTCTCATCGTCTGGCGCATCATGAGCCCGGAAGCTGATTAGCGCTACAGATTAGCGGCCTGCAGGCCTAGTGGATCAGCGAGATGAGCGCTGCAACCCCAGAGTCTGATCAGCGACTTAGCAGACCTAATGGATCAGCGGGTCCGGCTTTACGTTTAGCGTTTTACGCCAGCCCATCAGTTTTGTATCAGCTGTTAACTGTAGTCATCAGCTGATGAGCGGTTTAGCGGCAGGTGACAAGGAAATGTGCCAGAGGAACTCGCAAGTATTTCATCCTAAAGAGCGCATAGAAATTGTTTAGTACTCAATGCTGTAAACCCATTCGTCTAGTGCATTTCCGCTAGCAGAACATTATTTCCTAAATTAGTATAACTTTCTCTTCAGATTCCCAGCAAAACATCTCCCCTTTTGGCATGCTAGACACCAGGATTTTTTTTAAAGGAACCATAGCAGGTTAAGTCTTGCAGTTCTGAGTGAATCATTCTGATTGTTCTCATGTGAATAATTTTTTTGATTTCCCTTTCTGTTTTGCATTAGAGTTGCTGCTTTGCATCTGATGGCCTAATGCTGCTAGAGATAAGCTTAATGGTCAAAATGGAAAATATGCAACATGAATTTGTGGACCTTAGACAGTACTTACTGGAAAACCTTTTTGTAGTTTATGTAGCAATGGACAAAACACAGACCTCTGGTAAGTCCAAGATGTGTCTGCATGTATGTTTCATTGATATAGTATGTTCTTGCAGCAATGGACAAAAATATGGTTTGACCTTTTGACTGTTATTCTTTTTTTGAACAGATGATTCCCCAGTAGTCTTGTATGTGTTGCATTCAGGGAGCAACCTTCTTTATGTGCAGGTAACTTTTTAAAAAATATATAATTTAGTACAGGGGTTCTTAACTTGTGGTCCAGGGAACCCTAGGGAGTCCATGGATGGCTTCAGGGGTTCCTTGAACCGGGTGCAATTTATCCCACCCAATGTTGTAAATGAAACTGCATGTAAAATTGTGTATGTATATGTTTGTGTGCATTTTTCTGGGAAATGAGTCTATAGTTTTTATCACATTCACAAAAGGGATCCACGTCTGATTGTTAAGACTATCATAATTAGCTTAAGAACTATCCTTGGGTGAATGTAGATGATTTGAGATTTGATCTGACAAATTGCAGTTTAAATTGTCGTGAAGATGAACTTCACAGCAGCCTAGACAGTTATAGCATTATACTAATGTCATGTGATTTCTTTGCAGGATGTAAAACACTTGTCACAGGAAGGAAAATTTTCTGTGCAGTTTGAGCCAATATTGCTGCCATCACTGACCACAAATTTCACAAGAGTTGCTTCTGTTGTTTGTAAAGGTACAGTGTATTCAATACAACATAGTCTGATGTATACCTTCCCCATTATACAATATGACAAAGTTTATTAAAGAGGATATGGCATGTAACAGATACACTTCCTGAAGATTATGTATTAAGTGTCCATTTTCATGACCACTTCTAGCACATCTGTCCCCCCACCCCACCCCCCGCAGCCCCAAAAAGAGAGATGTAAAGTTCAGTTTTGAAGCCATGGAATAAACATTTTTCTGTGCAGTGGTGTGTGGGGAGATGAAATAATTGCATTCTTGTCAGAAATACTTGCATTCTTGTCAACTTAAGTTTGCACGCTTACCTGCTGGTAACTTGCACAAAAGTTGATGGCACTTAGTGCTGTGCTGTAAATCTATTATGTGCAACGTACTTACAACACAATGTTACGTACTATGTTTATGAAATTTACAAATGCCTTGGTTTTATTCATAAACAAGGACAAATGCTTTAGGAGCGTGCACAGATCTCAAGATTTGGCTTGTATTTGAGGATTAAAAAATAATTCCATTTTATTTCTGAGTCACTCTGTGCAACTTTGCATTTCAATCTGTAATTCTTCTCCTCCAGCACTTGGCGTAGAACTGCAGTCTGCTGACACTCCACATTACCTAACAATGCACTGGTGTTCATCAGTTGGGGAAAGAAGCTCTTAAAATTGTAGTAAACAAATGGAAGTCTGCTATGAGCTCACATTATTGTGATGCAGAAGCAGAAGAAGGAATTCAGTAGTATAGCCTGATTGCACATAATAGGGCTGATGTGAGTAAGCCCCATTGAAGTCAGTGGAAGATGCTTCTGCAAAACCTCAGGCAAGAAATCTCTCATAACCAGAGAGATTTAGTCATTCTGAACCCACATTTGTTTGATTTGTATCACATTCCATCCCAATCAGTAATATATCCTGAGATATTGGCATAACTGTGCAGGAAAAATGGAACCCTTTGAACACCCAATAAAACGTCAAAATGTAGATAAGGCTGAATCAAGAGCACTGCATTTAGCCTCCTTAGAATAACAACATTCTTAGACTATATATTAAAAAGTGTGTGCTACAATAAGATGTCTGTTTTCCTTGGCACAGGTACGTTGTGTGGCCCTGGAAGCAATCACATTGCTAATGAGAGGACGAATCTGTTAGACAGTACAGCTTTGCCAAAAGCATGCCATTCCCATCCTGTAATGGAAGGGTGAGTTTTTTTGTTTAATGCTGCCATTTTAAATTATTAAACATATACCAAAGCCAAGAAGTTGAGAACACTTTTTGAAGTTCATGCTCTATATAGTAATTTGTGTGAAAACAGATGGGTGTTCTAGCTCTGGCCTAGTTCATGTGGCAGAGTGCAAATGACTCGCAGGGCTTCTTTAAATGTCATGGAGCTCTACAAATCCCACTTCCGCGTTATATATCCGGGGCATATAGATATTTTCATGTACTGCTGTCTGTCTCGAGAGACAATGGAAGAGTACACCTTTGGGGGTAAAGTCAAACTGTTGGAGAGGTGGTTGTAGAGACAAATAAGGGGAAGCCCTGTTTTATAGCAGCTGGGGCAGGTGAAGGTGTCTGGTTTCACTGTTAGTAATACACCATGGCATTTCTTCTCTCTGCACTTCTCCCAGCGGTCACTGCTGTGGATACATGACCTCTCTTTCTGTCTCCAGACACTGCAGTTGTCTGCAAGTGATTTCCCCATGGCAGAGTTAATGCTGCAAGCCTTCGTGTCACATTTGCAGACATCTTTGTAACACAGAGTGTCACGCAGCAGTACATTAATCTCGCAGAGTCTTCTTTATAAATTGAATAAATCTTTTACTTGAGAAAATGAAGTTGTTCATAAACAGTATAGTCAAAGAGCATACACAGAGTGCAGCTATCTAACTCTTCACAGAGGCATTGTCGTAGTTACTGATTAACTGGAGTCCTGGAGCCACTCTGTCTGCCTTAAACAATACAGATACACACACTGGCTGAGACACACAGGTGCTGACTGACTGAAGCCCATAGAGAGGCTGGCTACTTTTATAGGGCACTCAAGATGAGGCATGAGTCACAGTGACTTTACAATTTGCTGTTAACAGTTACAGCTAGCAGGCTTGAATGATGCTATAGGTCTTGTAGGCCTTGCCTTACTTCTCCTGCTCTCAAGAACCTTTGTCTCATGACACAGAGAGTTGGTTGGCCAGCAGGCCTGGTGCCTGAAGCCAGCCCATCTTTGGGGATCCTGCCATCTTCCATTCTGTGTACATGACCAAGCCAGCATATGTATGAGGTACACTTCCAATGTAGTGGATCTAGGGAAAGAAACACAAGAACCTCAGGTGTGTACCACATGCTATGTTCTCAAATGTTCTACTTATGAAGTGTACATAGTCACACTTCGTAAGTACAACATCACATGATGCAGGACATGTGGAAGACATAGTTCAAATCAAATAGCATGGATAGAAGTTTCTTTCTTGCCTTCAAATAGGCTTTCAGTGAAGTCAGTTCACATATTCACCTGTGATGCAAATGATGTATGCAGATGTGAAGCAGCCCTGTCTAATTTGTGATCTTACCCTTATATTTATTTTGATTTCGTCCATTTGAATAATTCCTAATGCAACTTCCAGGGCATGCTATTCTCACCAGGTGGTTTATAAGTCTGAAAAATGTATGTATATGCACACACAACAATACAGAAATATTATAATCAAATAAGACAATATTATTTGATAAACAGCAATAATAAAAAGGTACGCTTTAAAGATCCTGGTTAGACCACAAGGCAGGGTGTGATTTTTTTGCAAGTAAATAACAGCAGTGAACTGTTTTCTGTCTACAGGTATGTTGGAATCGATCCATTTGCAACGGTATTTTATATAGAACCACATCGCAGTATTTCTGCATCTTGGTTAATATGGTTTACCAACAATTTTGATTTTAGCATTGTGCTAAATGACGTATATGTTTCAAGAGAAACAAAGGATATTTTAAAGGTGAGTTTTTCTTGTAAGCCTCACTTGGTACTTTTCCTTAAACAATTAGCAATGTATATCAGCATCCCATTCATTAAAATCTCCATTTATATACTGGGCATGTGTACTCAGCCCTAGAAAAAAAAAGAATCACATCAGAAGAACCAAGAAAAGTTAAAATTGTGTTGCTGGTTGATAAATTGTGAACAGTTATATTAAACTGCTTATTTTGTATTTATTTTAGTCTGCTAGTTGTGGAATTTGGGAAGAGCATATTCAGGACATAAAAGTCCCAAGCTGACCAGATGAAGCTAATAGCTTATCTTCCCATTTCTGTATTCTGAAATGTTGCCAGGCATTGCCTGCACATTTTTCGAATCTTTCCTCAAGGCAGGCTTGATGCTGTCATGGTGCTGATTTTTTCACCCATTACCAAATTCCATACATGCACAGCATGACTGTTAAGGAATGCAAGCAGCCCTGCTTATACATGAATAATTAGATAAATTTGTTTAGCTAGGGCCCAATCTGCCACTCCCCTGTGTATTATTAGAAGCAGAAGATAACAAACGGAGCAAGATTTTTCATGTAGATGTACTTTATATGCACTTGGTTTGATCTGATGTTTTTTGCCATTAGGTTCTGAACTTCACAGATCCTTTGACTCTACCTCCAGGATGTTGGAATGTGTTTTCCTTGAAACTCCACATCAAAGAATCAGTAACAAGTTTATTTTCCAATATTTTTGTGGCCACAAATATTGGAGTGATATTCGAGATACCGCTGCAAATTTATTCTGCTTTGTCCCAGGTAGTGTATTGAATTGCATATGTTTACAGTAGTATATTCTGACTTGCATACTTTGCAGTTCATAGAGTAATAATTAATTTTTGAAGTGATACTATCTTTTCAGAGTATTAGATTTTTGGGAGGTTTATCCAAATTTCAAGTTAGGAAAATGTCGTTAGGAAAATGGTTGAATGAAGTCTTAATTTACACAAAGTCACTGGAGCGTCAAATATTCCTTCTGAATTCATTTTGTATTGTATTGAATAGGGTGCAGAACTCAAACCAGGATACTATGGAACACTTTGCATATTATTTTAAGTGGTGGAAATTGAAAGTGCACATGATTCTGAAAGCTAGTGGAGATTGTTTAAGGTGCAAGCACTTTTCACAACTTCCATCTAATGTGCAAAGTGGCTTGATTCCCCACCCCCCCTTTAATTGTTTGTATTTTTAAAAACGTTGGGTGTGGGGAAATATTGAAAACCATAGGATTGTTCTTTGCATGCTGACTTAAATACAATCATAGAATTGAAGAGTTAGAAGGGACCCAAGGGTCATCTAGTCTGACCCCCTGCAATATTTGTTAATTTATTTAGTGCTTTAATCAATGTTTTTCAGAAGGGAGATCTTCATTTTGAAGCCATAGCACAGCGTGATGTGTACTGTTCCTTGCGCATGTCAGACACAGGTAAAAGCAGAAAAGAAGGGTGTTCCCATCTATGATACTAATGGATACTAATGTTTTTTTAAGCAAACATTATTTCTTTCTGAACGCCTAACTACTTCTTGGTAGATTTTAGCAGCCTTCTGGTCATGCTATGTTGAACATCTTATAGTGAAGTCAGTCTGCTTTAGATAATCTGCTTTTGTTCTGGGGAAAGAGGCAATGCAGATTTATGAGCATGGCTCACAGGGGTGCTGGTTTTGCAAGAGCCTAAAAGGGAAGGTGGGGCAGAAAATTGTGCAAGAGGGAGAGAATAATATTGGGGTATATTTTTTAAAAAATATAGAAGTTTGTTGTATTGTGCATAAATATGGGGGGCGGTGTTTAAGAGCTGTTATGCTTTGGTCATACTATTTCTAAATGTGCTCTCTTTATGACTTCTTGAAATCAAATTTTGGAACAAAAGAAGCAATAAACAAATATTATGTATCAATGAAATGGAATGTTATTATTTTAGCAAATCTGCTTTGGGAAAGGAGCCTATCTCTGGACAGTTCTACATGGAGTGTGGATTCTGACCTTGCATATCAGCTCCATGAAAAATGGCAAAAAATTAAGCACAATGAAATTTGCAGGTGTGTATACAGAATGTTCTTAATTTCAGCATTAGAGTGGTAAAATCTTGGTATGCTTACGTTCAATGTGTTAAAATCCATGATATAGGGGCTAATACTAAATAGTCACATCATGCATTACAGAGGGTGCAGACATAGCACTCCTGATTCCTTAAGCATGGTTAAGGGAACAGGCCTTGGACCATAATGTTACCTGCATCTTCTGCTTCCTTCCAGTACCCCCTGTCCTCCTAAATCCCCATACTACCTCCTGCTAGCTTTAACCACAGTTCAGGCTGCAAGATTGAGAGACTCCTTATAGTGCCTAGCAATGTGTCCCCTCCTATGTGGGCCTTTTCTCTTTCCAGACTACCCCCTTTCAGCTCTGAAAAATACTTTGCCTCCACCACTGAAGTCAGGGGTCACAACCTTTCAATTACTTCCTTTCGCTGCTTCTCGTTTTCTGAAATTTTCATCTTCACTACTGTCACTGGTGACAGCAGAAGAAAATGGCTCTCATTCAGTTGTTTCCAGTCACAGTACTCAATTCCCTACAATGTCCTAAGTGGGAAAAGGAAATGATTTGGCTGGAAGGTGCCACATCAAAGAGGTCTGTTACTGCTGCCTCCTATAACAACCAGTACTGGAAGCCAGTGTAGTGTAGTGGTTAAGAGTGGTGGACTCGTAATCTGGTGAACCGGGTTCGATTCCCTGCTCCTCCACATGCAGCTGCTGGGTGACCTTGGGCTACTCACACTTCTCTGAAGTCTCTCAGCCTCACTCACCTCACAGAGTGTTCGTTGTGGGGGAGGAAGGGAGGAAGGGAAAGGAGATTGTTAGCTGCTTTGAGACTTCTTAAGGGGAGTGAAAGGCAGGATATCGAGTCCAAACTTCTCCTCCTCCTCCTCCTTCTTCAAAGTCTAAAAGAGGGACACAAGACTGGTGTCAGTGGCCAGCCCACCTGAGCTGCTGAAGCTTTGGCATTTACCATCAGCATTGGTTTTGACCAGATGTTTATAAACCAGGTAGTTCCTGAGCAATAATGGACCCTGGTTAGCATTCACCATGGTTAAAACTGGGGGAAGCATATGCTTGAACCATAGTTAAAACCAACAAGGGTTTTGCATTGAAGAAGGGAACAAATGTGTGTGATTCTAATTCTTTCACTGAAGTGAAGGAATCAGATGCACTGTGCTTGCATCAGCCCTTAGAAGTGTGCAGAATTCATTGTCAAATTTTCAATAAGTGGCCGTAAAACATTTACAGTTCTGTCACTCTTTTTTTTAAAAAAAGGTTTGGTACTGTGTTGTAGAATCTCTAGTAGGAGATTTAAAAGTAAAAGGATGAAACCGAAGATGCTAAAATATTGCAAACACAAGGCCATAATTAGAGGGCTCTTGGAGATTTCTGTCTCTGAAAGAGATGATCTGTCATAACATGGCAAGCCAAAACTTTCTTGCTCTTTTTGATACTTTTTATTACATTTTCCAAACGTAAAACAATACAAACTACACAGCCTCACACCAAGAAATAAGCATAACAACCATTTCACAGCACTGTAAAACAGTTATAAGCAACTGAATGAAGAGATTAAACTAAATAAAGGATATCTGTCCAAAACAAAAATTGGGAGGGAGGAGGATGGATCGATTTATCACTAATGTTGACATAGCTAGTAAATTGAAATGGGATGTCTTGAAACCTCTCTTATATATGTTCTTATTAACTCAACAGGAGAAATATTGGGGAACTTGTTCAAGCGTCTCATCAGAAGGATCATAAAGAAGAATCCTTTGCATTACCTTTACCCCACTTGGTTACAGAGCTTGGTCTCACATTGAACTTCAGTGCAGCTGCACCAATGAATAGCATGGTGAGGCCATTTTTAGATTTATTAAAGCTTTTGGACATAATTCCTCACTTGTCTTACTTCCATTTTTGGTTTTGAAAACAGAAAATTGTATTTATACTCATTGTCTTATACAGTTGTACCTTGGTTGACGAATGCCTTGCAACTCAAACGTTTTGGCTCCCGAACGCCGCAAACCCGGAAGTGAGTGTTCTGGTTTGCGAATGTTCTTTGGAACCTGAACATCCGACACAGCTTACGCAGCTTCAAATTGGCTATAGGAGCTTCCTGCAGCCAATCGGAAGCCGTGCCTTGGCAGGGGCGAAGGAAGGCGGCGTGACACCCAGGGCAGGCATCGTTACATACGGCATCACTACGTACAACGCATGCGCCGTACATAGCGATGCTGCACATTCGCTGTATAGCGGTTTGCCGCCGGCGCCACTCCAGCGCCGTACGGACTGTGCCGGGATCCTCTGCTTGTGGCTGTAGCAGCGACGGAGGTATCCCAGCACCATCCGTACAGCGCTGGAGCGTAGCTACACACAGCGCATGCCTGCGATGCCACACATGCGCTGTACTTAGCGGTTTGCCATTGGTGCTGGGATCCTCTGCTCGTGGCTACAGCCATGAACAGAGGATCTTCCACATGCGGCTGTGTTGGCGTGATGGCTGCTCGTGCCCCCGTGAGCTCCTGCAGGGTGACTTATTGTTACCCCCACAGACATGGAACATGGGGTGCACTGCCCCCCTGTTGCGACGCCACTGTGCCTTGGTTTCTGAACATTTTGGAAGTTGAACAGATTTCTGGAACGGATTCCGTTCAACTTCCGAGGTACGACTGTACTTAATGTCATTATCAGGCCTGTTGAGGTCTTATGAATTAACTGAAAAAGCAGGCTAAAACCAGCAGTCACCAGGTTCTTTTAAACCTTATGGGTCTATTAAAACCTGATAGCTGTGGATATATGCTGTGGATATATGAAATTTCACACAGACTGTGTTCAGATGTTCAGATAAAGTGTGATGTCTTGTGATGGGAACAAGCCTGTCCAAGCCTCATGCTTTCCCCTCTCAGGCACAGTGGTAGCAACGGCAGAAGAGGGGGGAAGTAGCTGTGATCTTCTCTCTGGGAACCTGTGTGTTTGCTCATTCTTGTTTAGCCATGCTTTGGCTTAGCATCACATTCAAACTACGCCATAGCCTATATTGTCATTTTACTCATTGTATAATGCTTTCAATACTTTTTAAAGAATTTTTTTAAACCTTAAATCTACCTCATTCTTTTTCGAGACCCTCTCTTATTTTGAAAACAAAAATAAAAGGACAGTCATAATGGTTTTTAGCTCTGATTTCGCAATTTTTATCAACATGAGTAAGATGTGTCAATATTTCTGTACGTTTGTAAATATTTCAGAAAACACTCCAGATTTTTAAAAAAATGTTTTGTACCAAAAATAGCAGAATTTGGGAGTAGGGAAGAGGCTTGAATTCTAAAACATGAAGTATTAATATTGTTGTTTTTCCCCAATTACTTAGGTAAAATATTTTACGCTAAGAAACCCTTCATCTTTCCCAGTTATGTTGCAACTCCTGCCTCTTTCTTTTTATCCTGATCCTCGTGCTCCATTGACTCTACTCAGCAAATGGTAATGAGAAATAGTTTCTTGTGGTAATTTAAGAAATAGTATAATCTGAAAATAGTTTCTTTCCTTCCATGTATTTGGGTGGGTGGGGAATGAGCTTGCATCTACCAGTCATGTTCTGTGCATGCAAAGGGTCTTCATGGTACTGGCACAAAGTTTCTAATGCCATGGAAGATCCCACTTGTGTTTAGGCTTATTTCACAATAAAGTGGTACCTTGGTTCTCGAACAAAACCCGCTCCAGAAGCCTGTTTGGCTTCCGAAATGCTCGAAAACGGAGCCGCGGCTTCCCTTTGGTTGCGAGAGCTTCTTGCACTCAGCAGAAGCTGTGTCGCATGTTCAGGTTCTGAAAAACATTTGAAAATGGAAACATTTACTTCTGGTTTTCAGCATCCGAGAACCGAAATGTATGGCAACGGAGGAGTTTGGGAACCAAGGTTCCACTGTACCAGCCACTAACATGTGGCGATCGAGGGTTAGAACCATAGACTTGCAGCGTTGGAAGGGACCGTCTCATCAAGCCCCCTGCAATGCAAGAATCTTTTGCCCAACATGGGGCTGATCCTGAGATTAAGACACTCAAGCCAACTGAGATATCCCAAATTAATAGAAGGGCCATGAGGAGTTGTCTTACTTTGTCCTCCATTCATAACGGAGAACTATCTGAAAATGGGTTTTTATGGTTCTTTACTTTCTATAATTTTTTTTAAGGTTTATACATGTATATTCTTTTCTTGGTTTATATAGGTTTGGTGCAAATGTACAGTCTATTAACTTCACAACCACTGAATTTAGATTGACAGAAGATTATGCTCACAGGGTAAGCAGTGTCTCATATATTTTTCACTCTCAGAAATGGAACTTAAGGTGCTCTTTGCATTAAACTGGAAAGAAAGAGCCACCACACAGCTGAGAGTCTGTGGTTTATGCAGAAACATGTTTGAGCATGAAAGGAGTTGGCCGTTTTTTTAATAACCTGTAACCTGCATTTAATTTTTGGATTGCTTAGGTCAGGAATTCCCAATCTGGTGGAACGCTCTGTCACAAGAGACTAGGGCCCTGCGGGATTTGACCTCTTTCCGCAGGACCTGCAAGACAGAGCTGCTCCACCAGGCCTTTGGCCAGGGCACAGCCTGACTCCCTCCTTTGGCTATCCTCACAGAAAACTAGCCCAATTGGTTGCCATTAATCTGATTTGAATTAATTTTATAATGAAATGATTTTAGAATGTTGTATCATTTTATTTTTGTTAGCCACTCTGAGCCTGGCTTCGGCTGGGGAGGGCGGGATATAAATAAAATTTTATTATTTATTATTATTATTATTATAACTGTGGTCCGTGGACCAACAGTGGTCTGCGAGCTTCATACAGGTAGTCTGCAGCATCTATGCATTGAATAGCCATATTGATTGTCATTGTATTTTTATTGCTTCTATTGTTTCTTATATTGTATATTACAGTTTGAATACTAGGGAATTCAAGTTGCAATACAAAACATACAAGACATAAGAGATGCAACGAAATACAATTAAAAAACATGCAGCATCTAACTCAGTGGATTCCTTTTGCTGTAACAGGCAGGAAAAAGTATTAAGTAGTCCACCAAGGCTATCAGAATTTTCAAGTGATTGGAGGGGGAAGGTTTGGAAACATTGGTTTAGCTATTAAACGGAAAACAATTTTTGAAACTTTTGAAGTTATAACATTTATTTAATATATTGCTGATTTTAAAAAAATCTTCAAAAGACATCTAACATTTAAAACTTACACTTTGCATTCATCAATGGAAACACCAGATAACAAGAGTGCTTGTAATTCCAGAAAGGGTTCAGGAACTCTGTTAAATGGGGCTTTATTATTCCTACCTGCAACACTGAAAACCTCAGTAGACACAGGCGGGTGGCACCTGTATTTTCTGTATCCCCACTCCTCACACACATTGGTGTAAACATTTTCTCCCCTTTGTTAATGGCAGTGTCCTGGTATGCTCATCCTTCCCTTTCCCCTCTAGATGGGGCAAATAAAATACCGTATTTTTCACTCTATAGGATGCACCGGACCATAAGACACACCTAGTTTTAGAGGGAGAGAACAAGAAAAAAAATTTCTCTCCCTCTCTGCGCAGCGCCCCTTCAGCGAAGCAGCAGGAGAAGGGGCGCCCCTCCCATTTCTCCTCCCGCTTCGCTGAAGGGGCGCTGCGCAGAGAGGGAAAGCAGCGCAGCGCCTCTCCAGTGAAGCAAAGCCAGGAGAGCAAGAGGGATCAGTGCGCACTGATCCCTCTTGCTCTCCTGGCTTCAGCAAAAGCAATGAGAAGCCTCCGGGATGCAGCAGAGGCTTATAGAGCTTGCATTCGCTCCATAAGACGCACACACATTTCCCCTTAATTTTTGGAGGGGGAAAAGTGCATCTTATAGAGCGAAAAATATGGTACTCTGTCACCTCATTAGTGGAATGGGACAGTCAGGCAAGAAAGGCGTAAGTATGCAGGGCAAGTGGAACTGTAGTCTTTCCCTCTCTGCTTCTCATCTTCCTGATTTCCCTCAGGAGCATGGATGTTTTAGTAATGGTTCGCTCATGTTGCTTTGCAGGACGAACTACAGGAAGACCACGATTACATTGGATCTAGTTCGGAGCTGCTTTATTTAAAATTGCAGCCTTTAGAAACTAAGAGAGTTGGTGTTGTCTTCACCCCTATCGATTACAAAAGGGTAAACTCCCTTATACTGGTCAGGTAGGTCTCTTCTCGAGATTCTGTGGGGCGAATTAGGCACTGTTTTAGAAAGCTTTGTTTCATATTTCCATCAGTGAGTGTAGGCCCCAGGGCTACATCCAAATTTGATCTTTGGTACTTTCCCCCTAAAGCTTGGATTTACTGTATATGCAAATTATAGAAATATTTCGCATCCACAGGAATTGTACTTGGTCTTGGCAAAGCACAGCAGTGAATTTTTCCAAAAGATGCCCACATCTTGCAAGATGGTGGGAAGACTGCTTTTCTTTTTTCCCTTTAAATTTTTATTTATTTGTTTATTTATAAAGGCACCCTTGCTGTATTGCAGGAATAATTTGACTGTTCTGGATGTGGTTTATGTCGAAGGCATTGGAGCCAGAGAGCTGTTGAAAGTAGGGGGAAGGTTGCCAGGGGCAGGAGGATCCCTTCGATTTAAGGTGCCAGAATCAACCCTTATGGACTGCAGGAGACGTGAGTGACAATCTGAGAAGGAAAGGACTAAGTGAGATTAGTTTAACCAAACAGATGTGCATGGTTTGGAGGATAAAGTGCCAGTCTCATGGGCACAGCTATGAGTGAATAACATAAACGTCTGTTTTCACATGCATAACCATGGTTGCTGCTGTGCATACTTAAGGTAGTATACATGTGCAATCCTCACATAGATGGTGTGCCCTGATTTAGGAAGAGTTGCATGTGAAGTATTACATGTCCCCATTCCAGCTCCCATCTCCCTTTCATAATAAGGATGAAGACTTGAATATATTGTAACATAGTTGTAGGAAAGTACAGTTTCTGCCACTTAGAAGTGTCCTCAAGATGGCTTTTAATGATTACCTTGAAGTAACTTGCATTTTGTTTTCTTTAGAACTGAAAGATGGCAAGCAAATTTTATCCATCACAAAGAACTTTAAGGTTGAAAACGTTGGTCATCTTCCTATCACTATAACGTCTATGAAGATTAATGGGTACAGCTGCCAGGGTTATGGATTTGAAGTACTCAATTGCCAAGATTTTTTTCTGGCACAGAACTCTTCGCGGGAGATTAGCATTGTGTAAGCATTTGCTGCTTTCCATTGACAAACTGGCTTACTTTAGAATTGAGTTTAAAAGGAACCACACTATTACACTTATATCCTACCTCAAAGGAGCTCAAGGTGTCATACAAAGTTCATATAAATAAATAAAAATTCCAAGAAGAGGCTATCCTTGTTTCTGACTGTTTGGAAGCACTCTATTGTGTCATTCTTTAAAGTGCTATCTTTGCCTTAAGGGTTGCAGAGCTTACAGTCTGTTGTGTGTGTTGAGCATTTTGTTTTCCAGTTAGGGTCATGCTGCACAACATTGTAACTTTGACAGGGCAATTTCAGAGCTGAAGGAAAAATAACTTATCCTACTGTGGAACATGTTATGGGCCAGGGCAGAGCAGCACAATTAAAGGCTGTAGTGGGAACATATTTCATTGATTTAATATCAAGAAGTCTATCTCCATTATAATGAACATTATTCAACATGAATCATAATTAATTTTTCTTAATTAACTCAAAGGGGAGAAGATCCATTTGTACCTTAAATTTTGTGGGTCCAGCCTTTACTTGAAGTCTTGCTAATGGGATGCTCTTGCTGGTACTGGTGGGGCGGTTTTGCCAATCTGCGTTTTCCCCCTGTAGTCTTCTGAGCCTCCCAAAACAGAGGTTGGGAGTTCTTCGGGGACAGCATGTGAATTGGGCCTTCCTCCATGAAATGACTGTCTGCCCCAGTGTATTTACAAACAAAGCCAAACTAGCTAACTGACTTTTAGGTAAGGTATATGATTGGGTACTAGACAGCTGATGTGTTACTTCACTTTTCATCTTACTCAGTTGGAATCAATGATCTAGCAATATTCAGGATTTCTAACTTGGTCTCCATACAGTGCCATAAAGGTGGTGATTGTAAGCCCTTATACGAAATGGAAATACTTTCATCAGATACTGTTATAACATCTTTTACTCAAGATTTAATTATGAGTTGCTTCACTGAACAAGATTTCTCTACAGAAAAGTTACACCTCTGGATGTTTGTGATACAAGTCACAGGGAGCATAGCATGGACAGAAGAGGAAAGAATACAGAGCTAGGATGGGCAAACTCTGACTTGTGGACCAAACTTGACCCACTAAGCCTTTGCATTTGGCCTGTGAGGCCATTTCCCCCAAACCACACCACCTGCCCCACATCTGATGTCCCATGTGACATCAGTTGTGGGGCAGGTAGAGATGACATTGCAGAAAGCAGGATTGAATTTGCTGTACATCCCCTGATACATGGGGTGTTCGATCCTGCTTGGTTTGGATATACCAGCAAGTTCCTGCTAGAAACTTGCTGATGTGCCTGAACCACTTTGAAAGCAGAACTGAATGGTGTGTGGTGAATTCAGTATTGCTCAAGCAGGATCTTCCCCCGCACCCACATCGGTCAGCTTTTGACAGGCGTAATGTCATTTCCCCATCAGGTGGGTGGCCAAAAAAGTTCCCACGCCGACTGAAGCCAAGTGCTTTGGGCCATAAATCTTGCTGAGAGGAAGGGTGATGGTGCTGACCACAGTGGTTGATTGAAAGCACACAGAGGAACATGCAGTGCAGTTATGTGTCCTGCTGAAGGCACCTCTTGCTCAAGGAGTTTCAATAACATCTAGGACTTCTACTTGAATTCTTTTCAGACAGATGGGAATAAAGGTTATTGTATGTAATGGGTATGTGCAGGCTTCAGCCATGTGTATTAGGTGCTGTGTTAAAGGATTCTCCTCATTGTGATCAAAGGGGTTACAAGTGAATCACAAAGAGTGGTAGGAGGAAGCAGGGGGTTTGATGTTGAACAAAAATACAGGACTTTCATGGGACCCGATTCCCGTCAAAATGTCACTGGCTTTTTAATTTTTTGGTGTGCAGGTTTACTCCAGATTTTACTTCTTCATGGGTTATCCGTGAGCTGACTCTGGTGACTGCTGGTGGTGTCGAGTTCCACTTCACTCTCAATGTGACTCTTCCTCACCATCTTTTACCACTGTGTGCAGATGTGGTACCAGGGCCCAGCTGGGAAGAGTCCTTCTGGAGGCTTACAGTGCTCTTTGTCAGGTAAAGCATTTATTTATACATATTAACAAATTTATAGACTGCTTCATGGCATAAAGCCTGGAAATTTTCAGTCTCAGACACCTAAACCTTCAATTTTAAAGCAGCAGCAAGATGATATCAAGAAAAGGCAACTTGGCCACCTCCTCACTGTCTTACTAGATCTGGTTTTTCCTTGAGCAGGAAGCACATTTTCCCCCTAAATGCAAGCCCCTCTAATACAGAGATGAAGCACCTAGGTCTGTCCAAGAGGTTACTGGACTACAACTCCCAGCATTCCTTGCTGTTTGTTGTGGGTGGGGCTGATGGGAGTTGGAGTGCTACAGCTTCTAGGGAACAAGTTGGATACCTTTTTATATGCCTTGAAAACATACCCAAGAAGTATGATGTAGCAGGCAGAAAGTCATAGACAGGAGAGGCTATTAAGCGGAAGATGGGAGTTGCAGTGGCTAATTCCAGACAGGTTGGGATTAAGAAGTATTATACCTGAAGAAGGGATGCTCCAGGCAATACAGTGCTGTTGGGAAGAAGGAATTCCTCCCTTTAGCTGGAGATATAACATGCTCGGTAAACTAGCTGAAGACTACCAGGTTCCATGCAGAGGGAAATATTTCCAGTCAGTCTCAATGATCCCACCTTTATGAATGCTGGCTGTAATAACTTCAACGCTGAACACAATTAACCCATTCAATTTGATGTTGGTTCCAACCTCCTGAATGTAAATCTTGCTTTATTTCTACACACACGTTTTGCTGAAAACATTTATCTTTCCCTGTCTTGCAGTTTGTCTCTTCTGGGTGTGATTCTGATAGCTTTCCAGCAAGCGCAGTACATCCTATCGGAATTCTTGAAGTCAAGACAAAGGCAGAATCCCAGTCCTTCTGCACTGCCAAACAACAGTTCTGTGGACATCATCAGCTCTGAAACGTACAAGTAATAAATATTAACTTTCTGTTAGGTGCCTTGATGTGAAAATCTCTTTAAAGTGATGATGGTGTTGCTGTTTGATTCTGAGAATAGATAGGTGGTGGTGGTTGGAAATGCTAGTTCCTCAAGAAAGGAACAGTTTCTTGACAATTGATGTTGCTGTTCAGATGCTGATAAAAAACGGCTCATTACACATCACAGAAGTTGTGTCCTCAGTGTGGGAAGGGAGAAATATGTAACCTGCCTTCAGTATATGATGGAGATGGTGAGGGGAAGGAAACATGGGACAGTCGTGCTTCTTGATACTAATCTGAAGCTAATTTTCTGTGCAATGGCTAAAATAATGAAATACACTTTCCGCAAAACAGGATAAAAATGGTATCAAGATGGCTTCCAGGAAAAAATAGTGCTCAGTATTATGCCTTATTTTCCAGTCTCCCCCTGGTCTTGATAAAATGATTTATGAACAATATGATCTTTGTGCCATAAATAAATGTAATCACTTTATTTCTGATCTAGGAGCAGTTGCAAAACCTTTACGGATACTTACGGTTCTTCTGATAAAGGGAAAGGAAAAGGCTCCCTTTCTGTGGGCACAGCAACTAGCCGGAGTCAGAATGCTGCCAAAAGGAGTCCAGCAACATACAGTCATTCTCAGAAGAAGCACAAGTGCTCTGTATACTATGGTAAACCAAAATCAAGCACAGCAACCAGCACCACTATTCTAACAACTGATGACAAACAGAACCCAGTGGTCGAAAATCAAACTCCAGCAGCAAAGGAGGACATTTGCACTGTTAGTGAGACTTGGCTGAGCCTGAAATATGCCAGTAGCATAAATGTAAACATGCAAAAGAACTTGACGCACCCAGGGAACTTTCTAGATAAAGAAGAGAGTGCATTGAAAAATGCAACGCCTATAAAAAATACTTCTTCAGAGTGCAATTTGAAGGAGGGTCTTCGATCAAGTATGTTTCCTAAGGAAACGAACCTTAAGACTTCAGAAAATGTAGCTGAGCTCAAAGAACCTGAGCTGTGTCCTTTGAAGTCATCAAAGAAGCTGTCTGAAAGTCGCTTCCCAAGACATTCACCTCAGCAACAACCGGAATTTCAAGAAGTTTCCAGGAAAAACAATGGTAACATTTTTTAAAAAATACAGAAATAGAGTAGTCTGAATTGAACTAATACTGAACTAGAGGGGGGCATTTTTGAAATGACATCGAAAGGAAAAAACACAGTAATTTCTTATCAAACTTACAGACTTCATTACTTTTAAGCACATGTACTGTAGTCAGTTTAAATGCTTGTAGAAGTTTAAATTCTTTAGTTTTATTTAAATTCTAATTAAGACCCAGTGTTGCAAACTGAAGTACATTGCGGATTTTGCCAGTTGGGGAGAAATGGTGAAGAAAATAAAAACCACCAACATCCATAGCAAAGAAAAAGGGAAAATTCTTTTTGAGCAGTATGTGGATATTACACCAATATTACACAAAAGCAAACATACACAGCCCACCTGTAGCCCTCTTCAGTCATTCTTCTTACTCACACAATTGCCACTTTGTGAAGGAATAGGGTACTGCCAAGGTCCATTCCCTCCAGCACATCTGCAGAGGGCTGAAAACGAGGGAAATAACATACTGTTCTTTGTGCAGTTGTTATTTTGTGAGTAAGCACTTACCTGACAGAGGTGAATTTCACTTGAAATATTCTTACAAGGTGAGGTAAATACTGTATCGTTTTTATTTTTATTTTGAAGGGAATAGCCAGCAGGTGTCTCTCAGGAATGAAATAGAAAGCTGTGACTCTTTGAAAAAGCAGGTGAACACAAAGCCCTCAGCAGAGAAGGCGATAAATAAAGGGCCTAAAGATGAACTGCAGTGCTGTGGAAAACGGGAAGTTTCTTCTGCTGAGGTTTGAATTGTTACATGCTGCTTTAAACATTTTGGAACTGGGATTTTAAATGCAATTGCAGATAAACACCTAAAAATAAAAATTTCTGGGATTTCTGGGACATAAGCAGTGCTTTTTTTCTTAAAAAATGTTTAGGGGTACTCTCATTTTCCTATTCATATTGAAATACTGCCCCTCAATGAGGCCAAACTTAGATTCACAAAATGTTCAGGGGTATGTGTACCCCTGCATACCCCCAGAAAAAAAGCCCTAGACATAAGATCCCGTGAGTGTCATTGAGAGTGGCCAGATTTCTATTGCTGGCAGTGAGAATAAGGAGCCAATTAATTATGTGAAGCTTGAAGGATTATTTCCAGGCATTTATTTACCCGAGGTTACTCTTTGGCTTTGTATATATCTGACTTACTGTTGCTACGCTGTTACACTTTTTCTTGTATTTTGGCATGCTGTATGTTTCTATTTCTGTAATGAACTGATGTAATGAACTGATGATGAAATCAGAATATGTTTATAGTGGGGAAGTATACCCAAGTATTTCCGTATGTAGAAATTGAAGGAAGTTTCTATGCAAGCTTGTTGTCTCATGGGTTTCTAGCTAATTCAGTGACCTTTGTGATCACTTTGCAAGTAAAAATGTGATGAAAGAATGGCATAGCCATTTTTACATAGCATAGGTTACATATTGGGTTGTGTCCAACAAAGCCATCATATTAGCTTAAGGACTTCCACCTGGGCAATGGGACTGTCACTTCCTAAACACCTCGTGCCATGTTCAACCCAGAAGAGATTGTGGGGGGCATGGAGAAAGGAAAGGGAGACAAAGTGCCATTGTATAGGCAGCTAATGGGACAACATAATTGGATATAATCTGGCATTTCTTCAGCCTCAAAAATAGTGGTGTAAACTTAGCCTGCCTTCATTCATATCGTACTATAAATAGAGAATTCCAAGACCTGTTTTAGAAATCTAGAGGCTGAGTACATGCTAACTTTTGCTACAGTATATCCTGTGAGAGGCCCTTTATACCCATTGATTTGAACAGTATAGATTTGTAGTGCATATGTGTTCTTGAAGAAACAATCTTACAGTTGAAATTTGCATTCCCTGTTCCCATTGCTTTGGAATAGTTGTAGCTGTGTAATTTAAGCTTGAAATAACTTTTCAGGCAAGTTTGTCCCTTAATAAAATAGCAATTCACGTAATCAGAACAGATGAAGTAAAAAAAAAAAAAAAGTGAAGAAAGGAAGAATTTATGGAGGGTAAGTTTAAAACTGAGCTAGTCATAAATCTGACAGGTGGTTCTGGTTTTAATCGAGGCAAAATTGTGTAGGCCATTGTTTCAGCCCTTTATGACTGTGGTATTTAGCTGAGGAAAGAATCAAGGAATGTGGAGGAGAATAAAATTGCATGCTAACACATTTCACAAAACTATAGTTTTTTTAACGTTAATATTAATGACAATTTTGCATGATAATTATTTTCTGATTAAAATGCTGTGCGACTGTAGTCTGCCAGATTTTGAAGCTATTGATACAAACTCATAGTCTTAAGTAATATGTCTTAATAAGTCTTGTTTTTTTTACCTTTCAGCAAGAAGATACTCACCGAAAAAATGGGTCTCCAGAGAAAAGAGAAGGGCATGTACCAAATACAAACTGGAACAGAAATAGGACAAACAGAAAGAATAAGAAGAAGCATGCTAATTTATCTGTACGGTATGTATGGCTGCTTCTTTATGTTCAGATTTTTAAATTTAGGAATGCAAGCAGTATTTCCACCACTTTTTCTTGTTGTTTTCTTGTTGATTTTTGTTGACAAAACAATTTTTTGGTTAATTTTTACTTTTGTTAATTTTTACTTTTTCCTTGCTATTCTTAATTTTCATCCTACCCTTCTGCCAAAGAATCAAGAATGGCATTAGAGTCATTGAACAAGCCTCTAGGCCAGCCTTCCCTAACCTGGTGTTCCAGACTACAATGTTCATCATCCCTAACCATTGGCTACAACTGACTGAGGCTGATTGGAGTTGTCACCAAAAACATCTGGGTGGCACCAAGTTGCAAAAGGCTGCTCTAAACTGTGTGTGAGAACCCGTGTCAGGACTGTTCTGTTTTAGTAGCATGCAAACAGATTGTTCACATAGGTAACTAATTAATAGATGTACCACATGTAAGATAACTACCCCTTTGTTGTTGTTGCTTGTAGGGTCCCTGAACAGACTGAGTTGAAGCATGTGTGTAGTGGTTTTGAAAGACCTGAACTTAGAACTAATGTTAATATAAGAAACTGGTGTGGTCAGAGCAATGGAGAAACATGTAAAGGAGAAGAGAGAGGTGGCTTACCCACACAGAGAGAAGCAGGTATGTAATCAAAAGTGACTCAGAACCAAATGCTATGCATAACTAGTATTAGTAGTTTGCTTTTGATTCCGCTCCTATTTTTCTATTGCACTTTGTCTTTAAGATAGAGCAGTGCTACGGCATGATGAATCTTCTGGTTCTTTATCCCCTTTTGTGTATGAACATTCTCAGCCAAGGAGAAAGAATTGGGGAGTTCAAGCCAGCGATAAATACACTTGACAAAACCTTCAGTTCCTAACGCGTGGGGGGGGGGGGCAGCTTATAGCGAAAGATGCCTGAATGCAAGTTCCAGCCTCATTGTTGAGTAGGGGGGTTGAGTAGGAAGGTCTCAGCAAAGGAAGGTCTGAAGTTGAGCCACCACAAATGGGGAAAAGGTGTTCCTCTTGACATTATGTAGTATCAGAATGTATCTGTGAAGGCTTCTGAAGCTCAGGCATAGAAAACATTTATAAATGGGTCCCATCATATTCTATCCACTTACCCACTTGGGATATATGCTAAACCAGTTCAGTATTTTTCCTAGTTAACAAAATATAGAATGGATAAGAATGTTCAGTGTCTGGTCAGTTGCATATATTTGCCAGCTAGGTGGAATAAGTTGGCGAGTCATAAACTTCTGTTTTGTTACGAATTTTCCAAATTGCCTAGAAGGTTTCTATCAGTGGCCGAAGAAGAAGTGCCTGGAAAGGTTTTGCTCGGATTCAAGCTCAGACTGCGGAAGTTCTTCAGGGAGTGTTCGTGCCAGTCGAGGCAGCTGGGGGAGCTGGAGCAGCACTAGCAGTTCCGATGGCGACAAGAAGCCAATTATTCCTAGCAGGCACTTCCTTCCTTCTAGTAAGTGCTGTAAGAGTGTGTGCATTCTGCATTTCTTGAGGCATCAGAGTCTGAAAATTGCAAAAGAAGAAGAAGCTGCAATAACTCAATTATTACAGAATTATTTTCAGTGGAGTGTCTTTTAAAGCCTTAACTGGGCAACATGAAATTTATTTAGAAAAAATATTTATATGCTGCCATATCACAAAAATATATCAAAGCGGTATATTTAATTCTCCATCTCCCTTAAAACAACTGTAGAATTATTGAATATGGGATTAAGTGAATATAAATATATAGATTATGTATTCAAATACACACAGCCAAAGAGAGAAAAGACACATCACCTTACAAATTGCTTCTACCGTGGTTTATGCTGTAGAAACCTAAAACTGCATTCAGCATTGGCAGTTAGTATGGGGTTCGTAAGGCAAATAAAGCAGACCAGCATAAATCTACAGCTTTTTTGCAGCCCTGTTTATTATCAACACAAATCTCTTCCTCCAATAATCTGCTTGGCCAATAATCCTCATTTCAGCGCCAGGCAAATACTTTTTCTGGGCATTTGGGCCATGATGGGATATTTTTTACCATGCTTACATTTTTACTTACGTTTATGTATTTTTACTTTTTTGTTGTTGTTATATATCAGTTCAGGACTTTTTGTTGTGAAACTATACTAAAACTCTATACACCCCCACCCCCAAAAGAAAGAAGAAAATGCTTGATAAATATTTTGTTCATAGCTTCTGACCTGTTACAAGTTTGCACTTGATTACACTGGTCAACAACAAATTTGTTTGCGTTTTTTCAGTTGATTTAGGACGAATCTGATGCGCTGAATCCAAAAATCACATTGGTTTTGCTCAATCAGGTCAAGTTTTTGAGCTATGGCCACATGTCGTTTTTTTACGTTTTTGTTCTAATGTATGCTTGTGTGGAGCATTTTAGAAGAAGTGGGTGGGTGTTAAATGCCATGTTGAATAATTGTTTTGATTGCAAATGATTATTTTAATGACAAGAAGTATTCAGGTCCGATAGTTCTGGGTGATTATGTCAAAAAGGGATCAGTTTGAAGTCATAAAACCTCGAAATCTTCCATAAATTGGTGCGGCAAAGCAACATGAGCATCAAGATGCACTACCTATTTTCACATATGGACCGGTTTCCTGAGAACCTGGGTTCAATGAGTGACGAGCAGGGGGAGAGATTCCATCAGGACATGAAAGAGATGGAGACCAGGTATCAGGGTCGCTGGAACGCAGTCATGATGGCTGACTACTGTTGGACTCTGAAGAGAGACCTCCCTGCCGCTGAGCATTCCAGGAGTTCCAAGAAACGGAAGTTCAAACCCTGAAGTTTGAAAAATGGTGAAGCAACATGCAATTTACGTGTACTTACCTTTATCAATGCCCACCATTCAGTTTACAGTAAACCTGACCTGATGGAGAGAAACGGATGCCATTTCCTGATTCAGCAGTGCAAAAATACCCTAAATCAGTTGTAGAAATCTAGACAACATTCAAAAAGTAAAAAATTGTTGCCCAGTGTTATCTATGCAGTCCTAGTATGTAGAAAACTGTATTGTATTATTTTACCAAAATGTCATGTTCAGCTTTATTCTGTCATTTGCATAGGGGAAAGTATTTCATGCAGCGATTTTCCAGCTGAAACACCCATCTCTTTAAACCCATCTCACAAAATCTGCAACACCAGGTAAAATACTTTAAAGAATCACATTCAAATGTGATTAGCAAATGAACTGGGGAGGGGGAATACTACTAAACTAAATTTGTAATGCTCAGTAGTGTTTTTGCATTATATCTTATTTTATGCAAAACAGATGTGCTGTAATATATCTTATTTCTAATAGCTGGTAACGCTTCAATTGCTGCCTTTATGTTGCTAATGGTATTAAATGACTAGCCCACCACTACCATACAAATGATGTGTGCACAGACCTCTATACATATATTTATTTTTGCATGAACCTGTTTAGTGTGTGTCTTTCTGTGTGTAGATAAATTGGGTTTGTTAATTGAAATGCATACAGATTTCCCACCTGCCCCATGCCTGCAGGAAATCTGTTTGACATACATAGCTTCCTTGTATTAGGACAAGGATAGTTGATTTTTCTAAATATAAAATAATTTGTTTGCACTTGTCTTCAGCAGAGATGTGAATGGTGTCCCTCAGTATCCAGAAAACCTATGCCCCAACTTCCCTGACATAAGTGTAGATCCAGACAAAAATAAAGGTTAGTTAATCCAAGTGAAACTAGATAATGGGACAACTTCATTGGGTACAAACCCTTGTTTACTGGATGGTATGTAAATATTGCATTGTACACAATATAAATAAAATCAAAACTAAGGCACAAAATGTTTTAAATACACAGAGGTGCACAAAAATGCTAAGTATTATTAGAATATTCCAATTTGTTGTGTTCCTTGGACCTGGAAACGTGATTATTAAAAATCATAGTTAGTTTGAACTAAGCCAGTTTAGGTAATTATGCTTTCAAGTTGGCTTGTTCTGAAACTTAACCATAGTTAATGTGAAAACCACACTTGTATCAGACTGTACAACATGACAAGCCATACTTAATCAAAAGATTTTGATTCCTTCCTCCTGGCTATATGGGAGGAGGTAAAGGGAGAGGGGAAGAGAAAGTGCAAGGCTCACTATATTTCACTCTTGCTTGTGCAGATTGTGCAAATGCAGCTGGAAATGGCAGAATTGAATTCTTGGTGGTGCTAATGCTTGACAGTTTGTTAATTTAGAGGTCATGATTTCAATTTTACTTGTCCTCCCAGGTCTTTATCCAGCGGGGGACCTGTGGCCACCTCAACCTGTGTGCCTGCCAAATAGCGTGAACTACAGCCTTGAGAACAACATCCCATGCATGATCCAGGAAAACCCTTCATTACACAATGGGCAAGTTTCTTTCCCTCGCCCCTCCTGTTACACATTTTACTAAAACAATGGTATTATTTTGTAAACTGCCAATACATGGGTATTTTGTTTTTGTTCCTGAAATGCTAAGTTTTGCTTTGACTTTTAGTAGCTTCATTGATTGGAATGCCTCCTGTGATGGTCAGTTTACCAGCGTGTACTGCCCAGTGGAAGTGAATGAATACAATGCTTTTCCAGAAGGTAAGTCTCCTACAATCCATTAGATCCATTTCAGTCCGGGTTCTATCCTGGTTTTGGGACCGAGACAGCTCTGGTCACCCTAACAGATGATCTTCTGGACCACTGCCTCGCCGACGTGGGGATACAGGGCATAGCCCGTAAATGGCTGCACTCTTTTATCTCTGGTTGGGGACAGAGGGTGGCGCTAGGGAGGGAGATGTCGTCGCACCACTCCTTGGTGTGTGGAGTGCCTCAGGGCGCAATCCATTCCCCGATGCTTTTTAACATCTTTATGCACCCCCTTGCCCAGATTGTCCGGAGCTTTGGGCTGGGTTTGTCACCAATATGCTGATGACACTCAGCTCTATCTGCTGATGGATGGCCATACCGACTTGGCCCCGGACACACTGGCCAGATGCTTGGAAACTGTGGCTGGATGGTTTCGTGGGAGCCGACTGAAACTAAATCCTTTGAAGACAGAGGTCCTCTGGCTGGGTCGGGATGGTATGGGGATGAGGGACCAACTCCCTTCTCTTGGGGGGGCCCAATTAGTGCCATTGCCTTCCGTTAAGAGTTTGGGTGTAATCCTTGACGCCTCCCTTTCCATGGAGGCGCAGGTTACAGCAACAGCCAAGGTGACATTTTTCCACCTTCACCGCATCAAGCAGTTGGTCCCTTACCTTTCCCGCCCCGACCTGGCCACAGTGATCCATGCAACGGTCACCTCCAGGCCTGACTACCGTAATTCGCTCAACCCGGGGCTGCCCTTGAAGCTGTTCCAGAAACTTCAGCTGGTGCAGAATGCTGCAGTGAGGCTCCTCACGGGGTCTCTGCCATGGGAGCATATTCACCCAGTGCTTTTCCAGCTGCACTGGCTCCCGGTAGAGTACAGGGTCAGATTTAAGGTGCTGGTTTTGACCTTTAAAGCCCTTCACGGCCTAGGACCCTTGTACCTATGGGACCACCTCTCCCGGTATGCCCCACGGAGGAGCTTAAGGTCCAAAAATAGCAACACTCTGGAGGTCCTGGGCCCTAAGGAAGTTAGATTAACCTCAGCCAGAGCCAGGGCCTTTTCAGCACTGGCTCCGGCCTGGTGGAACGCTGTGTCTCATGAGACCAGGGCCCTGCGGGATCTGATTTCTTTCCACAGGGCCTGTAAGACAGAGTTGTTCCACCTGGCCTTTGGCTTAGAATCAATTTGATTCTCTCCCCCTCTTTCTTTTTTCCTTTCTCCTCCTGTGAAAAGGCTGCATTTTAATGTTTTAATGTTGTATTTTAATCTTCTTTTTAAAGTTGTATTTTAATCAACTTGTTTTTATTATTGGTTGTTAGCCGCCCTGAGCCCGGTCTTGGCTGGGGAGGGCGGGGTATAAATAAATTTTATTATTATTATTATTATTATTATTATTATTATTATTATTACAAAACCATGAGTGGTTTAGAAACAGGCACTTGTCCTTTCCCATCAGGTGCTCAGGTGAACAGCTCCCAGATATCAAATGACAGCTTCCCTACCTCCTCTTAGCTTTTGTGAACACCTTGCAGTCTCCCCACTACCCCATCTGACTCCCAGCTCATTGCACTGACTTGTGTAACTATAGTGCTGAAGTCCACCTTGGGCATCTCTTGGGAGATGATGTTTGTGGTCCAGTAGGCCTATCTATATTCTTCCTCAGCACAGCCTGTATCTTCCTCTTCCCACACCCTACCTCCCAATGATCTACAAACACACACACACACACAGCAGGCTAGTAGGATCCAACTGCTGCAATAATTAAGAAAAATGTAGAACCACCCTACAGAATTAAGTTAATTGTTGGTTGACAAATCTGCCCTTTCTCCCAAACTATAGAAAATATGAACTATCATAATGGCTTCCCATGCACTGCGGAAGTTCAGAGTACAGCCTTCATTGATCACAGCTGCCAATCTACTTGGAGCACCCCACCTAATATCCCTCCAACTTGGGAGCCAAGCAATTATGTCAATTCAACAGTGAGTATAATGGGTGTTATATTACTATAGTATAGTAACATAGTAGCCATCTGGTTATATGTGACTGTCCCTTACATCCTCTTGTTGATCATTTCTTTTTAGTGAGTTCTTTAAAAAAAGACTTATTTCAAGATTTAGCCCAGATGGTTTCAATTCTTTTTTTTTCTACTCTGGATTTAATTCTAATTTTGGTGCAGTTGATATAAATTTTCTTTGTAGCAGTTATGCAATTCTGTTTGTACCGAAATACATTTTCTACAGGAATCATTTGAGAACATGTAGGAAAATGTGTGAAAACTTACTTTTTCCTGGGTGTAAGAATGGAAAACAGTTTAGATTTCAACAATGCAAGCCAACAGTTTAAATATTAATAGTATTCAACTTGCTAGGCACATCAGTATGGGATTCTTTTAAATATAAAAAGCAGGGTGGGGAGGACGGGACCTGGTGAAATGGCAGACGAAACAGAAGTGTAGTCAGGAAATTGCCAGCATGATTTTTTTGTGTGTTTTGGAATATGCTTTTGTTCCTGTTGTAGGCCGATCAGTTTAATGCTATTTTTTCCAGAGTTTATGCTGGATCTGAATACTGAAGGAGGGCCAAAAAAGAGACACTGAATTGTTGCTCATTTATTTCCGGGGTGGCACAGAGCATTCTGTGCTTCAGGTTTTTTTTGTTTATGTAGTGCTCTCATTTAGAAGTTTTTTAAAACTCTGATAAAGCAAATGGTGCTGGTGAGACGATTCAGAGCAGATCTTAAAGTTCTCCAGTTTTGACACAAGCAGAACACCTGTGCTCAGACTTGTTCCTGGCCCTGCTGCTTCCCTTGCACTGCTTATGATTACTTGACTCTGTCAGTAATCACCTTAAGAGGGTGTGTTTTTCCACTGACTGAAGGAGTGAAGGGGTGGGTGAGAAAACAGGCAATATCACACTGTTGTCTTGCTTTCTAAGGCCCACCATTCCTGTGTCTGGCCTTACTGTTGTTTGTCCACACAAACGACACATTTTAAGCCATTTAAGTAAGTGCCATGCAGGAAACGATTTTAAGAGTGCATGTTGTTAAATATTTGCTCTTAAGCTAATTAAATAAGGAGTTTTGCGGGGGTATTGAATCTCTTTATCTCCCAAGCTGCTTTTCCAAACATCATCTGTTGAGTTCTTTGTTTCTAAATGTGTATGTTTTATGGCACACCCAGTTCATGAAAACTTTTCTCTTCAACGAAGCTTTGGGATGATTAACATTCAATGGCCTTTTAAATGTGTCTTTAGGAAAGGGGCTAATGGTTTGGTTTGCTTTGCTTTTGCTTTTGTATTTTTGGGTGAAGGGCAGTATACAAATTTAATAAAGGATAGTGGTAATGATGACGATGTTTTGTGTTGTCTGTTTTTTTCTCTTCCAGTCCTACCTCTCAAGCACCAGGAGTTTGTCACCCATGTCTGGACTCTTTGGTTCCATTTGGGCCCCCCAGAGTGACATCTATGAAAGCTGTTGCCCAGTCAGTGCCACCGCTCAGCATTCAGCCCAGGTGGAAAACCAGGCAGTTCTTTGCAAGCAGGAATGCTACCCGAGATTTAACCCATTCCGTGCCTATATGAACTTGGACATATGGACTTCAGCAGCCAACCGGAATGCAAATTTCCCTCTTTCTAGGGAGTCGGGTTACTGTGGAAACATGTGAAAAGGAATTTTATTTTTAAAATGTGAAATAAAAGATGCTTTCAGTTTTGATTACTAGAATAAGCTGGTTGTTGAACTAGACTTCAATGTTGGTGGATATTTTGGCACTTTTGTATGGAAAATAAAACTTTTTTTTACTGAGGTTTCTGGATTTTCCGCTTTCTTTTTATTGTTGTTGTTTATTATACTTACTAATTGCACTTTTTGTGAAAGTAACTCAGAGCAACCTACGACAATAACAAACAGCATATTCATTAAAACAATCATAAAGCAAAACAGATAAATCTATGAAAATAATATTTTAAGAAATGGAACAACAACAGCCCCCCCCCCAAAAACCAACCACTGATAACTCTCAAATAATAAAGCCAAGCTAAATAAAAGAGCAATCTGGCAGCCTAGAATCATAGAAATTGGAGTTGGAAGGGGACACCAAGGATCATCTAGTTCTCCCCTTTCCCCAAGGAGCAGGACTAGGATCTAATAGAATTTAGTTACAAGAAGGCAAATTTGAGTTAAATCTTAAGATATGCTTGACAGAACAGTTTGACAATGGAAAAATGTGGGTTCTCCCTGCTGGAAGACTTCAGGCCGAGTACGAACAGTTGCCTGTTGGCAGATGCTCCAGATTTTCCTGCGTTAAGATGGACTACATGGCGCTACAAAGTCCCTGAAGAGCTCCATAATTCCATGATGAGAAGGTTGCCCCAGTATATGTTGTTTTCTTTTCCCTTAAATTCACTCTCCATTTGCCTGTTGTTGGTTTAAAAGTAGTGCTAAGTGAATGTTTCATCAGTGCAAGGATTTCTGCTTGGGCAACAGTCATCCTCTCATTCCCCTGTGTACCCCCATAATCTAGGGATTTCCTCAACCCTCTGGAGCAGATTTGGGGAGAGTGCAGGGTACCTGTGGGAAGAGGAAAGACGGAAAAGACCCATTGTACAAGCAGACGTCCTTGCACAGATGTGCAACATTCATTGAATAGCCATCCAAGTCCTTTGAGGAAAGGTAAAAGGACCTGGAAATACTTAGCATTGATAAGAAATTACGTGATAGCAGAGTAGAACACAGATCAACCAAATGACAAGGAAGGGATTTCAGCTAAACATTGCAGAAGAACTTCCCGACTATAAGTGACCCTATTCAAAGGAATCACTGTCCAGGTTTGTTTTTTTTCAACCACTAGATCAGGAACTGTCATACATTTTGTAATTAATTGTGCAGTGTTTACTAGCAGGAAGTAGCAAATTTGCTAAGGGTTTTGAGAGCTCTGCATTCTTTCTGTTTATAGAAACACTTTCTGAAAGCAGTCGAGAAACTAGTTTTGCAACCACCGTTAGTCATATTACTCTGTTGTTGTTATAGAACTGTCTTGGCATTGTCATCCTAAATCGAAGTCTTCAAATATCTGAATGGCGGTCACACAGAAGATGGTGCATACTTGTTCCATCGCTCCAGAAGTGCAAGTCCAGAACTGATGTGTGAACACAGGAGAAGACACTACCTAATGGTAAGAGTGGTTGAACAACAGAACAGTCTCCCTTGGAGGTGGACTCTTCTTCACTGGAGATACTTTAAGCAAAGGCTGGGCACTCAGGTGTCAAGAGATGCTATAGCTGCATCTTGTGTAGATCCTACATGGAACAGAGAGTTGGACTAGATGACTTATTAGACCTCTTCCTTTCCAACTCTGAAATACTATGATAGAGTGCCAGAAACCAAGACTGGTAACAACAGAAAAAGAGAGCAAGTAGCTCAGCTTCAAAAAGCATGCCTTGCATGCAGATGGCCCAAAATTTACTCCATTTCCTGGCACCTTCAGTTGGAATGATGATCTCAGCAGTCCTACAAAAGGTTGCCTGAGGCAGAGGCATAGCAAGCCCAGGTGGTACCCGGTGTGGAAATTTTTTTGTCACCCTCCCCCCCCCCCACATCGACAGCTCGGGGTAGGCTTGGGAGTCGTGGGTGGGCGCTGAATGTCTGCCCCCTTCCTACGCCTCCGTGCCCCCACCCCCACGACACCCAAGTACCCCGGGGGGAGGGGGAGCTATGCCACTTTGCCAGGGCGCTGGCAAAGCTGCGTCCTCTCGGGAGCCACGGCTCCCGTCTGTCCCCCTCTCACCTGGCTTGCTGTAAAGCAGCAAAGAGGGAGCCGCTTAAAGCGAGCCAGGGAGAGAGGGAGGCTGGGAGCAGGGCCCCTGGCTCAGGGAGGGAGGGGGAGCCGTGGCTCCCGTCCGCCCCTCCCTGGCTCACTGTAAAGCAGCAAAGCAGGAGCCGCTTACGCCAAGCCGGGGAGGCTGGGAGGGGGGGCCCCAGATCGCTGTAAATGGCTCCTGGGAGCTGTGGAGGGATCCCGCCGCCATCCGTACAGAGCTCCAGCGGCACTGGTGGCAAACCGCTATGTACAGTGCACGTGCAACGTCGCTACATACAGCACAAGCATGTGACACTGCACATGTGTTGTACGTAGCGGTTTGCCACCGGCGCCGCTCAAACGCCGTACGGACAGTGGTGGGATCCTTTGCTTGCGGCTGCAGTCGCGAATGGAGGATCCTCCACATGTGGCTGCGGCAGCATGATGGTTACTCGGGCTGGTGCAGCAGGGCAGGCACCCTGCGGGGTGCCTTCTTGTCACCCTCCCAAACATGGAACCTGGGGGGTCCTGCCCCGCACCTTGCGACACCACTGGCCTGAGGGTCTGGGGAGTCAACTACCAGTGCATAACTAATTATTGGGTTCTGTATGAGGCAGTTTTATATGTTTTAACTTTTGCTCATTAGCTTTCACAGGTGTGTGTGTGTGAACTTTATGGATCTGGCCATTGGCCATTGTGGACACAGCTGTAAAGATCAGAGACAAGAATTGGTAGCCCAGAAAATGGTACCAAAATAGATGCAAGTTCAGCTGCTAGATTGCAAGGGATTTTAAATTAGTCCTTCCAAAGTTTTCTTCTAAAATACATTTAAAATATATGTTAGCCTCAAAACTTCTTTTTATGCAATAAATCCCATTTTGCAACCCAAACTGATTCACGCTAGAGAATACACACACAAACACAGCTTTACTTTTTTAAAGACTGCAATCCTATACACACTTACTCTGGTAAGTGTAAGTCCTACTGAATTTACTGGATTTCCAGTGGACCTTACACAGGCATATATAGGATTGCATTGTTACCAAGGCTGCCGTCCTATGCACATTTACTCAGGCATAAGTCTTGATGAAGAACGCAGGGTTTACTTCTGGGTAATGTGGAGGATTGGGCTATATAAATAAACAAACTTTCCTTAAATAAAGTTCATGGGACTTTCCAAGTGAGTGAGTACAGAATGAATATTGCAGGTTAAGTTGAATTAAAACCATACCCAGCCTTTCCCATTTTCTACTTCAAACATCCAAGCAGCAGACACGATGGTTGTGTCTGTAGGTTCCAAAAGAGAACACAACCTCTTGAGTGACTGTGCTTATTTTAAGAATCTGGAAGTTGAATGTTTCTTGTTACCCATTTCAATAATTTTAAGTCCCTTATGGCATATGGTTTTGCTTCCTTGAATAATTCTCTGACCTGAAAAGAATAGATGAAATACATAGAAAAGCCAAACAGTAAAGTTTCTAATTCATAACAGAGAATGTGTATGCATTACAGTAGTACCTCGGGTTAAATACGCTTCAGGTTACAGACTCCGCTAACCCAGAAATATTACCTCAGGTTAAGAACTTTGCTTCAGGATGAGAACAGAAATCATGCTCCGGTGGTGCAGCAGGAGGCTCCATTAGCTAAAGTGGTGCTTCAGGTTAAGAACAGTTTCAGGTTAAGAACAGACCTTCAGAACGAATTAAGTACTTAACTCAAGGTACCACTGTATATGGAATTAGGTCCTTTAATGTAATGCTTCATTGTTGTTTAAAATGTGTAGCTCAAGAAGGGCTACTTTTTATGTCTGAATCTGTTATTAGCAAAACAGTGTTTCCAAAACTTAAGTACTTTATTATTAACTTTAATTAGCAAGATCTATATACTGCTTAGTTATAACAAAATATGGTTGAGTAGGCACATATGGGGTAAAGCAATCATGCAAGTCAAGTAGTCCCAAGTAATGGAAATTAGAGGAAGCTACTCACTAGTGTCCTAGTTTTAGGTAAATAGTATTGCTGGTCCAGTTGTATATTTGAAATGGGAGTTTCCCTCTTTGCTTTCAAAATCTGTTATAACTACACTTGTATCCCAGATTTTCCTGAATATTATATTTCTGCTCCTTTTTATTATTTAAGTGATAACTTTTTTATATAACAAAGGTAATTCTAGATATTTGAGATTATGTGGAACCACAAACTGGTTCTGCTTTGTCATTGAAATTTGTAACTGAAGCAGAAGTGGCTTCTTAACACATCCACACTTGCCTCTGTGGAAACAGGAAGCCTGCTGTCATTTCCCAAAACACAGACTGCAACCCCTTCCCAAATCCCACACTTTAGCTTTCTTTTTCTAGAAACAATGTCGTTATACAGCAACTCAAGTTTGCAAGTGACGCTAATGGGAGCTTGAATACATTCATTTACAGAATGTTCCATATTTACAGGCCTGGTTCTACATCTGTCCTCCTTGCCTGAACTGCATTTGGGAACTGCATTGAGGGAAAACAGTGTTGCGTACCTATACCTCACGTCTTATATATCCAAATGATCGCTGGGCTCTGCAGGGAAGGTCAATTCCACACAAAGAATTGGGTCTTTAGTGTCATGGCATCTGGCCTTCGCAGAGGTTCCTCACTCCTCTTCTAGACCTTCTATAAAGCAAAACAAAAAACCACAAACACACACACTCTATATTTAATGTATTATTTCCATATAGTTGACCACTCTTAGTAACTCTCAATGAATCAGATGGTTTTAAAGCTCCTTAAGAGGTGTCTAACAAGGAAGTAAAAGAGCAGTTTTTAAAAGTGATCATCAAGGCAGATGGGATGGGTATGCTTCAGTAGATTTCAAAGTTTCTGTTCCTCTATATAGACCAGCCTAATGTTGGTTGTTATGCATAGTGACTCAGAGCTACGGAAGAAAATGCACATCGGTTTGCACCAAGTGATGCAGCTAGTCTGTTCAACAAGGTGGAGATAAGCTTAGGGATGTGGAACAATGGACTTTGCAGC